GGGGGGACATCATGCGGATGGCTGTGCAACACAGAGAAGACAAGTAGTGATTCTACAATATCTTACTACACTAATGGACTGTGACTGTAATGGGGTTTGTCGGCGGGGGGACTTGGTGAAGGGGGGAGTCTAGTAAACATAATGTTCCTCATGTAATTGTAGATTAATGATATCAATATTTTTAAAAAATGGGAAAGGCCCTCATAAGGCACGGTGACTCTTGATTTCATCAAAATTACAATCTCTTTCTAGCAGAGAACATATGAAAGGTGACAAAATGAGTGATTATTTGCAATGCTTAAAAATGACAAATGGACTAATACTTAGAATACATAATAAATCCAGTAAAATAAGAAAAAGAAAAACTCCAAATGAAAAATGGAGAAAGATATAAACAAGTAGTTTATAAAAGAAACACAAAAATCTACAATGCTTACAAAGAGATGAAGAAAGTCACTAGCTACCAGAGTAACTAAAATTAAAGAAAGATTATCATTTGAACTCCTTTTAGACTCACAAAAATTAGAAGGCTAAATGATGCCTAATCCTGGTTATAATATAAGGTTATATAGGATTCAACATGCATTGATGGCTGAGTCTGAAGTAATGCAGCCAGTCAGGGGAGCAATCTGGCACTACTTCAGAAAACTAAGTATGCATATACTCTTTGACTCACCAATTCAGAAAAGGAATTTCAGAAAAAGACAGTCTCCCAGATCTGAGGATATATGCATGAAGATATTCACTGCTATATTATTTGTAAGGGCAAGGAGTTAGAAACAATCAGGGAGTCTTATCACTGGAGGAATAGAGAGGTAAAATGGAATGAATGCCAACTTCTGAATACTACACAGCAGTCAGATGCCCTTGGCCAGATATACATAGATAAACATGATGGATATAGAGTATTTTAGTACTTTCTGAAAAAAGTACTAAAAAATAGTAAGTGGGATGAAATATAACACAATACCATTTATGTGAATTAAAAACACTTGCAAAAAGGCTGTAATGTGTCTAACAGAGAAAACCCATGTTAAATAAGCTTCATTCAGGCATGATTTCTTGTGCTATTGTTAATGAATAGCTTCATTGAATGAATAACATTGAATAACTTCAATGTTAATGAATCTACAATATATATTAAAGTATCTTTAAACAAACACACATAAAACAAGATTATATACTGACCAACTGCCAAAAATATTTAGAATATGCCAAAAATGCCATGACCAGACTCACAGGAACCTAATCCTGTATTTCCCCTAAGAGCAATGCTTCAGCACTCACTAATTCAGTGTTTGCAGGGACTCTATAGAACACAATTACCATGAATAACAAGAATCAACTATATGAACAAAAAAACATACATTAAGCACACTTGGAATGGTCAGCTGGTTGGGATGGAGACAAAGATAAAAGGAAAAAATACATTAAATGTGAAGAGTTTTGCACACCAACTATTTTATGCGCCATGAACAGAGGGAACTCTGAATCTGAGCTCCAAATAACTAAATAACTAAATAAAAAAGTGAAAATACACTCACATGCCAGTAAGAAAGGCAATTCAGTCCGACCACAAAGATATCTTTGCACATAACGATAAACAATAAACATAAATATAACAAGATTGGGGGAGGGGGAAGAAGAAATCAGGGAAATCTCTTAAAATTTTAAAAAATGAAGATACCTGAGGTATACTGTGTTTTCCATACTTCCAAAATTTATTCTGTGATAAAACAACCTTAAATTTCTCCTCCAGAGACTCAAGCTCATTATCAGGTAAGAGGCAAAGCAATTTCTTCAATGCTAATAAGGAAGAAGTTACAACCCGATAAAATTTAGCTTCTCTCTCTTCCTCTGGAACAGTTCTTGATGTGAAAAGAAAATAAACATAGATGATAAGGATTGAGAATAAGCCAAACTACCTATCTGGTATTTGTACTTCTATTTTAAATTTTTTATTAATAAATATCTACCAAAGTTGCTTTATTTCTATATTTCATTCTCCCTCTGCCAACCCTCCTCCAAAATACAAACATACACAGAATTTTAATCACAAATTTTTCAATTAATACAAAGCAAAATTAGATGAAAAGGCTTGAAATAAGTATACAAGTAACAGGCAATAAGGTGATCCAGGGAATGGATATAAATATATCTAAGATTACTTTCCCTTATGAATTCCTAATAGTTCGACTGAAGCATAAAAGGAAAAGGAAAAGGAACATGGCACAACTCTTTCAACAGAACAACTTCATTTGTTGCAACCAGACCTTCAAACAATTCCTGCTATGACTGTCTGAAAGTAAATGAGAAAAATGTAACATCTCTTCGTGAAAGAACCTAACTCCCAGATAATTCAAGTTAAATAGCAGAACTACATGCAAGTAAAAGCCCATAAAACAGTACCTGGCATATGGCATTATACCAAGTGTTTTGTTTTCATCTCCACATTTAGCAGCCCTTTTTAAAAAGTGTCACATTAAAATTATATCATTACCTATGACTGAAACAAACCCTTAACATGAGTCACACAGATATAATACAACTTACTGTGGGTCACTGAGCGTATCAGGTGTTTCTTTTATAAGATGATCCTGCAGCACCTATAGAAGGGGAAAAAATCCCATAGCCTTGAGACTTTTACTGAACTCTCTGAGAATGGTGAACAGTTAGAACATAAGCATCACCTTACCTAAAAGTATTTACACGCTTACCTACAAACATACTAAATTAAGTAGCAAAACTAAAAGTTTTGAATTTTACCTATTTTTCTTTCCCTATCAATCCCCAAAGTTGACTGCTCTTGGGGTAAGGACAGGGTACTTCTTCCAACCATCAAGAGGAATTTTCCCCCAAATATTCCTGGCCTCTTGCTCCTCCTTTCCTCCTGCACACAGCAGTAAAGTGGAATACCCAATCACAGAAATTAGGTGCTTTTGACGGCCTGCCTGCCCACAGAAAACAACACAGATTGTGCTATGCCCCATCATAGAGGAAGGTCTAAGGTTCCATTTGAAATGGGTAAGTGTGCCTACTTCTTGGGTGCAGTACAAGGCAGCTCACTGTCCCACTACCAATTTTATCAGGTGTAATAATAGCTAACATTTTCTGAGCTTTTCCACATGCCAGGTATTGCTCTGAGCACATTTCATCCACTAACTAAATTAATCCTCACAACTACTCAATGAAGTACAAATCAATTTCCACTTTAATAGACGAGGAAAGGGAGACACAGAAACTTGCCCAAGGTCACACACCTAACTAATGGCAGAGGGGGACTAGAAGCCTATGGCATGACTCGGAGCCCATGTTCTTACTGTCTATAAATCTGACACTTGGATTTTCATTTGCCTAACTTTTCCCTAATAAAGTGGTTTTGAACTTGGGCAAATTCAAACCCATATCTGTAATGAACTATGACATAGCCAACTGAAGGAAAAATAATGGAGAAAATAGCCACACATTCAATGATCAGCTATCCATTCAAAACAAAGCCAAGAATTTAAAAAAAAAATAGCCTTGAGACTTTTACTGAACTCTCTGAGAATGGTGAACAGTTAGAACATAAGCATCACCTTACCTAAAAGTATTTACACGCTTACCTACAAACATACTAAATTAAGTAGCAAAACTAAAAGTTTTGAATTTTACCTATTTTTCTTTCCCTATCAATCCCCAAAGTTGACTGCTCTTGGGGTAAGGACAGGGTACTTCTTCCAACCATCAAGAGGAATTTTCCCCCAAATATTCCTGGCCTCTTGCTCCTCCTTTCCTCCTGCACACAGCAGTAAAGTGGAATACCCAATCACAGAAATTAGGTGCTTTTGACGGCCTGCCTGCCCACAGAAAACAACACAGATTGTGCTATGCCCCATCATAGAGGAAGGTCTAAGGTTCCATTTGAAATGGGTAAGTGTGCCTACTTCTTGGGTGCAGTACAAGGCAGCTCACTGTCCCACTACCAATTTTATCAGGTGTAATAATAGCTAACATTTTCTGAGCTTTTCCACATGCCAGGTATTGCTCTGAGCACATTTCATCCACTAACTAAATTAATCCTCACAACTACTCAATGAAGTACAAATCAATTTCCACTTTAATAGACGAGGAAAGGGAGACACAGAAACTTGCCCAAGGTCACACACCTAACTAATGGCAGAGGGGGACTAGAAGCCTATGGCATGACTCGGAGCCCATGTTCTTACTGTCTATAAATCTGACACTTGGATTTTCATTTGCCTAACTTTTCCCTAATAAAGTGGTTTTGAACTTGGGCAAATTCAAACCCATATCTGTAATGAACTATGACATAGCCAACTGAAGGAAAAATAATGGAGAAAATAGCCACACATTCAATGATCAGCTATCCATTCAAAACAAAGCCAAGAATTTAAAAAAAAAACTATGAACCAAATTAACCATCTTAAAACCCACTTTCTAAAATTTTTAGTGTCCAAACTCATGACACTTCACTCTCATTAATATTTACCACTTGATATTTTAAATCAGTGATTCCTAACTTACCCTTGGGTTAGTGAACTCCCTTTGAGAATATGATTAAAGCTACAAACCCTCTCTCTCCCTAGAAAAACAAACTTGGCACACCTGAGAAATAAAGACTGAAAGACCCAAGAAGCTAAATGGGGAACTAGAATGTATATGTGTGCATGCAGAGCCCTGAAGACCAAGATCACAAATCTAGACTTGAAAGTATAATGGGAAGCCACATGAAGGTTGACTAATTGAAAGAGGGGGGAGAATATTTAAGTAGGACTATATACAGGGTGCTATAGAAACCCAGGAGTACTAAATAAGGAAATCATTGCAAGCATGAATTTTTTTTTTACCCTCAATTCCCCCCCACCCCCACTCAACAGTCCATCTACTTTTATTTCTTGATCTAATACTAACAAACTTGGTTGTCTGGTTTTTCCAGTCCATATATTAGGAATAGCACATAAGGAGGGATGAAGTGAGGAGGGACAGTATTAGATACAAACTGAAAACCACAAAAGTGACAGCTGACATCAACCTGGCAAGTGTCGGCCAAGTATTGAAGAAACTTTCCTATCTGTTAATGGGAGTAAAGATTTGTATGCCTTTTGAAGGGCAATTCATCAGTATCCATAAAGATTTTAAATGTTCTTATCCTTTAACCCAAACATATGATTCCTAGAAATTCTGGTAACTATCATTCCCAAAGGGTATGAAAAGATCTATTTAAGATTGTTCACTGAAGCAGTGTTTGTTATAAAAAAAATATGGGGAGAAAAGCAAATGTTTATTAATATAAAAGGATTTAAATAATCTTTCTACGATGATAGATAGTAACCACACTAGAGGTCAGGATTTGATAATGTAGGTAACTGTTGAAACCACTGTGTTGCACATTGTATATTCATTCAATGGAATACTATACCCCAGTGAAAACGAATGGCCTATGCCTATATATAAACTGATGTTGAACTTCTGGTCTCCCAAATTATGAGAATAAATTACTGTTGTTTTAAGTCAAAAAAAAAGGAGTTAAATAAACTGTTGTACATCCAAAAAAAGGAATACCAAAGAGCCAACAAAAAGAATGAAGTAGATCTATATACATGTACTGACATGGAAATATGAGTAAAAATAAACTTATTTTTAGATGTATTTTTTTATGTAATATACATTCTTTTTATTAGGTGTATATTTTTTATATTTTACATTATATATGCTTTATGCACCACAAGCATATATCTAAATTTCTAGATATGATAAAGATTTGTAAATTAAAGATAGAAATTTAAATAATTTAAAAAGATCCAATCCAAAATGTTATGTTAAAAATAAAAAATAGTCAATTTTGTTACACACTATTTTAAAAAGGCAGTTTTCCACTAGAAGTTTTTCACTTACTGATTCCCTCACAGTACCAGGTAAAAGAGCTGTCATTATAATATACCTTATATCCCTTAAATAGTTAATGAAAAAAATACAGAACAGTTCCAATAACTTACACTTATAATTTCATCCCTACAAAACGCTATGGCTTCAGGTTGCTTGCTTGGAGGGAAAGCTGCTTCAAAGGCATCTTTTGCTGCAGATGCAGCTGGTGTATAAGTATCACACTGAGCCATTAGCCAATAGCCCATTAAACTTTTTAAATAAGGAGCCAAGTGTTTCTTTACTTTAAGGATTAGTTTTTCAAAAGCTTGCTGTGTGGCTTCTCGAACCCGGCGGTCATGATCCAACCCATAAAAACAAAATACAAACATTTCTAGATATGCTATGATGACCCATTAATAAGGATTCATCTATGTGCAAAGGTGAACTAAAACCAATAAACATGTGAAAAAATTTATTAATTTTTCCTTTGCCTTTCTCCTAATGAAAAAGACAATTGTATTCACTACACAATCAAGACTAGGCCTTGAATAAGCAATTCATTCTCACTCTTCTGCAGCAAAAAAGCAAAGAAATGAAATCATAAAAATTTACTATGACTGGAGAGTATCTAGGTGATTCTCTAATAATGACCTAATTTCTGAAGACAGACTGCATATACACTTTATACATCCCAACATGATCTCATCTGCACACAATCCTGACAAAAATTTCATAACACTCACCAAAAATGAGTATTAACTTGACAGTTGCATGACTTCAACCAAAAAACATACAATAAAAATATATTAGTAAAGTCTTAATACTTACAAGTGAAATTTTGCAGAAAATTCTTGGCCAGTATGGAAGAACTCCTTTTACAATTTCTGTGTCTCTTTCTGTACACATGAATCCAAATTCCTGCATTGCCTTTAAGTAAATTATTAACATCATTAAGGATCAACAGCCACAATACTGGCTATTGATTATATTTACTCTGTTCTAGAAGCTTAGTCTAATATATGTAATGGGAGAGTATGTACAGTGTTTCCTTTTGTGCCACATGGGACTAATTTGAAGAATTCTTTCATAGGCTACTATGGTAAAAACTTTTCAGTTATTTTTAAATATATAAAACACAAACAAAAACCTCAATTAAAATTACAGGGTCAAAATTTCATTCTCTAATGGGAAAACTACATAGCCTGAATTCCACAGTAGTTCAAATTAGTGCAGAGCGGCAAACTAATTTTTAACCCAGAAATTAAGTATAAATTAAGCTTAATTCATGAGTCAAAACAAGTACCATTATAAAAGAACTTATTAGTGATAAATACCCATTCATTTTTCTTAATATAAAATGTGTCAACAACAACAACAAAAAAATGTGTCAACAACATTTTGTTTTAACAAAGATTTTCTTGATGGTTTTTATTAAAACAAAAAAACTTGCTTTTAATTTTGTTGTAACATCTTTCTTAGAAAGTTTGCGCAGCACCATTCGGAAATCAGAATCTACGAGACTGTCAATTTCTTCAGCTCCTTGAATAGCAGGAACATAACCGAGGTCACTCTGAGATGTTCCAAAACCAATAAATCCAGGAACCGTTCCCTGTTCTTTGGCAAGGAGTTCTGCAGCACGGCCACTGTTTGAAGGCTGATGAAAAAATAGGGAGAAAAACAGAGTCACAAAGAGTTCAAAATTTTACAGTTCTTTAGAATAATCCCTCGACAATTCCCAAAGCAAAACAAGCTTTTATTTGAGCACTTTTTTTCTCTAGCAAAGGTTTCATCCTTTGCAATTTTCCCATCACTGAGAACCTATCAATAATGATCCTAAGAGCTATTTCCTGGTTTCTTAACCATCAGAACAATGTTTTTAAAACTGTGAATACAATTCATTGGTGGCTTGTGATATCAACTGAATGGTCATGACAGCATTTCAAAGAAACAATAAAATTTTAAAACTCAGAACGTATCACATGGTAAGAGCAAGTACTATTTTATGAAATTTTTATTTCCAAATTTTGTATATATCATACGTATAAACATGTGTACTGTGTAATGATGTAAAATTAACTCATAGATGGATTACATCTTTTCATTCATCTATTCATTCAACAAATATTAAGCAACAACCATGGGACAAATCTAATGATTGCTATTTATAGACTAGGTGTTCCTTAAGGGCAGACACACTCATTTTTGCACAAACACCTAGCCTATCCTCTCTGGACTATAATGGTTACAAATTACATTATTATGGATATAAATATCAATGCCATGGTTAGGATATAAGATACACGCCTTTGTTTTGAACCATAGTCAGTGGTTTGTTTGACTGATACACCTCATAGCAGCCTATTACTAAAAGTTACGGGATTGTGACAGAGAAAGAAATATTTAAACTGTTGAAAGAAATTAACATATTTACTAATAGGAAAATGCCTCAGTTCAATGTCTAGGATAACAGTACAACCCATCTAAATTCATTTGTTTTTTATTTCTCTGGAAGAATGTTCAAAAAAGGTTATCCCAATGTGTGATTCAATTTGCTCATACCTAGCAAAATTATGTTTGGGAAACTCATTTATCGAGGAATAATCTGAACTACTTTCTAAACTGAGAATGAGTGACTAGAAATGAAAATGACAGTCTGAATTACATATTTTCAAAATAGTATCATTTAATGATTAATTTTAAAAAAGGTTCTCTATTTTAAAACTTTATTAAAATGGACTAACATTATTCAGTTCACCTTTCTCAATACTGGTACATGAATAAAGAGCTATAAAAAGTCAGTGAATTACAATACAATTCTGGAAACTAAATATGATGCCATTAGGACATCAGAAACTTATTTATAATCTCATTTGTAAGAAGTTTTATTATGAAACAGAATAATGAAATTGTGTAAAATACTAATTATTGCTAAAAGCTAAAGGAGTCAAGGCTGAATTCTTAACTGACCTGAAATACCACAGCTGATATGATAACTTGGTGCAAAAGAAAACGTATCAAATTTTCAGTTAGCTTTTTAAAAGTAATAAATTATTTTTTAAACATACTAATTGTATCTTTAATTCAATGTCTACTTTGAATTTAAAATACTGTTTCTTACTACTTTATTGTATGTTAGATGATTATATCAACAGTTCAAAAATTTAGAACCCTGATTCTAGTTAATTTTCTTATACTACTCTACTTCATTCTTTTGTGCCTTTTAGAGGTAGTTGAGGATGCAATCCTCGATCCACAGTTTAAAGATCAAAAGTGGGAAGACTTCCAAGATCTTTTACCATCTGGCCTCAACTTTTCCCAGTTTTATCTCCTGCCACTCTTTTCTCCCCTTGTCCCACTTCCTCTTCCCCTCTCCCAATTCTGCTGCCATTATTTATGTTCCACTCCCAAACTGAATTAAAAGTTCCCAGAATATGATATGCTGTTTCATAGTTTGATCTTTGCACAATCTTTCACACCATCTGAAAACCTTTCCTTCTTTTTCACTAACAAACTCCTACACATCCTTCAAAATACACTCATATTTTCAACTTTTGCCTGCCTCAGGTCAATTACCAGTCTTTCCTGTTCTCCCACTCTCTTCTACTCATATTTGTATCAGAATCCTTTAAGATATTGTAATTTCTTGCTTACTTATATATCTGTATCATTAAACTACTAGCTTGAAACGAGACATCTGTCTATCATCTTTGAATACAGTCTGCCACTCAAAAGTTCAAATCCCAATTGTGAAACCTCCTGGCTGCATGAGCATAGGTGAATTACTTTCTCTAAACCTCAGTATCACCTTTAAAATGAGAAAATAGTAATTAAACCATTATTTGGGTTGTTGCTAAGATAAAGTTTTTAAACCACCATAATAACTGACTCCAACAAGAATCATCAATGGATGCTAAAACCATTAGATGAAAGTGTGAAAGAACAGGTGATTCCCAGTCTTGAACTACCACTCCACATATTATTTGTTAATAGCCAATGGAAAAAGATACATTCATAATGGACACTATTTTACCCAAATAACACCAATAAAGGGAGAAATAAGCATCACGTGCCTCCTGGTGGGAAGCATTGAGAAAGATACATCTATGAAGCATTCCTATAAAAAATTGTTTAACCTGAATCTAAATGTAAGGAACACAGACAAATCTAAATTAAGCAAAACAACTTCCCCAAAAAGCACTGAGAAATTAGGTCTACATGATAACTACATGGAATGAGTATCCTTGATTAGATCTTGGTTCCATTTTAAGATGGCTTATCAAAAAGAGGTTATAGAGAACATTATTGAGATGACTATAGAAATCTTAACTCAATATTGCATATTTATTAGATAACAGAATTACATGGAAGTTAAATTTTCTGTATGATTGTTTATGATTATGAAGAAGGATGGCATTGTTTTTAGAATACACATGCTGAAGTATTTAGGTGCTAAATGTCATGATATTTGCAACTAATTCTCTCATGGTTCAGCAAAATACATATATTTAGAGAGATAAAGAAAACATGACCAGATATTAACAATTGGTAAATCTAGATAAAGAATATATGGGGTGTTGCTCTAATATTCCTGCCACTTTTCCTCACATGTAGAATATCTCAAAAATAAAACATTGAGAAAAGTTTTAATGAAAAAGTTAAAAATTAAAAGAAGTTGCAAGTAAAGCACTTAGCACAGTGCTGGCACAAACTCAGTTGCCATTATTATTGTTGACATTATTATTTTCCAAAACAAAGTGACTGGCAGATCTAAGAAAAACATAGTACTGGTATCACCAGAATTGGATAAGAAACAGGAGAAATGCATTCGCATAAAATTAGACTATGCCATAACAAAGCTTGCATCATAAAAAACATCACTTTAACATCCCTAATCACATAGATTAAATCCACTTTGGGGTCTTCTTTAAACAAGTATTTAGTGAGCTTCTACTACATGCCAGTGCTTGTTCTAGGCCCCTAGGATAACAGCAGCAGATAAAAACACCTGCCTTCATGATACTTACATCCCAGTGAAGCAAGAAGTAAATTACTTAGTATGTTAGCAGCTTAACATTAAGTGGACTGGAGTAAAATAAAGCAGGAAAGGATAACAAGGATTGAGGGAAGGCTACAATTTAAAATAGGGCGATCTTGGCAGACTTCACCAAAGGTCTAAGGCAAAAAAAAATTGAAGCCACCCAACAAGAGTGTCGGGAAGCCTGCCAGGCAAGGTCAAGGCTCAGTGAGGAGGTCAGTGTGGATGGAGTGGGTGAGGAGGGAAGTGAAGATGGGGTTGGAGATGGAAAGGGGTCAGTCAGGGAGAGACCAATTCCACGTACACCGTGGTAAAGGCTTTGGACTTTACCCCCAAGGAATGTGGAGAGCCATGGTAAGTTTTTGACAAAGGAGCCACATGATCCGAGCACACCAGACTCACTTAACTGCTTCCCACCCAACTCCCTTCTTCCCAATGCACCCCCACTCCCTCACCCCACGCTACACCGGCCAGGTAACCTTCCAGTTGAAGCTGACACTAAAACAGGTCCTAACGAAAACTGTGAGGTGTATGCTCAGGTCGGGACAGCTCTGGCATAGGACATCTCCAGTCTGCTCAGAGATAACCCATCCCGCCCGTGGGGACGCACACACAACAGAGAGGTCACACACGACCCGCAAACACACGCCTCCCCACGGCCGCATTTCACCCCCTCTCCGGCGTGCGCGGGGAGAAGCCACGCGCTGCGAGATGAAGATTCCCGGGTTGGCTGGGCCACCCGGCGCTTACCCTCAGGTTCCCCTTGGTCCGCTGCTTGTTCTTCCCGCCCATGGTGGCGGTCTCAGCAGCACTCACAGACCGCAGACCCCAGGTTGACACGGCCGGCCACAACTTCCGGCCCCCTTGCGCCGGAAGAAGGCTCACTACTTCCTCCGGGCTGCCCTTCCGCCACCCTCCACCCCGCCCGCGCACCCCAGAGACCTCCTGCCGTCCCACCCCAGCTTCCGCCTCCCGCTGCGTCCATGAGCATTCGCCGAGGGAAACGTCATAATTAAGAGTCTCGTTTGTCTGCATGATGTCATTCTTGTCCAATAAGAAGCCAAGCGTTGGAACAGTGGCTCCAAATCCTGCTTGCCGCCGTATCCTGGAACAGATTTGTTCCCTGCTTAGCGGTTAAGAACTTGGCTGAGCTGTAGGAGGAATGTTATAGAACGGCACGGTAGGGATTGTAGGAAGATGGGAAAAATGTTAAGCTTTTTAAAATGGAATCATCAACATCACCTGGGCATTTATTAAAAATGCCAGGCCCACCTCGAGACTACTGCATCCGTCTCATTTTTAACAAGTCGCATTTTTAACAGTCCCAGGTTTTTAAAATTTGAGTAGTTCTCTGGACAATATTTTCTCTAAATCCCTCCCCCCTGTATTTCATGTAAAAATGTGAAGTTTTTAAAGGAGGGCAATGTGGCAGTCTCTATTAACGTTTGTATGTACAGCTCTTGTACTTAGTGATTTTGCTTCTCATAATCACATTAGAGAAACATAAACCCATGCTATTGGTTATTGTCTCCTTTGTCCACACACTGATCCAATTCCATGATACTGAGGCCCTGCAAACTATTTCTCCTTTATTCAGCTGGCTTCTTGTTAGGTCCCATCAACAGAGGGCACTAGGAGACAGACAAAAAGGAAGAAGAGATTGGCTCCATTCGGTTAGCATCACCAGCAGCAACTGGTTTAGGCAGCAATTGGTTTCAGACTCCACTTTTTTTTTTTAACCATCAGAATCAACCTTATTGCTCATCTTCGGAATACCAGCAGCAACCAGGCAGGACCCTCCCGCTCAGAGGTCTGAATCTAACCCCGAGCCCCTCCCAGATAGCCAATGGTGCCCCTTCCTCAGAAGTCAGAGACCCAACACAATCGGGTCTCTTCTTTGAGTTCCAGAGAATCAGCAACAGTCAGGCACCACCATCTCTTCATTGGCTTGAACAGAGCTTGAGCTTTTCAAGGCTCACCTCCAGACTTATAAATTCTGACTACCACAACCTCTTCTTTTTCTCTTTCCTTTCTTTGCCCTAGGGATGGTTGCTGCTGATGCAGTGAATACCTCTATGTTTCTTCTCGATTAACCTTTTTGCTCTTGTAATCCTTTTTATCTAATTTCTCATAACAGATTTTTGTCTCTTTAAATAAGTAGTAAAGTTTCTGTTTTCCTGACTGCACCCTGATTGAAAAACTCACACAAAGAGGCATACTGCAGAATGTTCACTAAAACACTGATATAGCAAGACAATCGGAAACAACCTAGTATCTGCCTGTTTTGAGAATGGCTAAGTAAATTAGATCTATTGTGTGGGCTGTTGAGAGTATGATCTGTACATACATGGGAAGAATTCTAAGACATATTCTTAAAAGCAAATGTAATATGTAAAGCATGATATGTTTTAAAAGCTCATAAAACAACATACATATATTTTTATGTAGATATATAATACACCAAAAAAAAATCTTCAATGATACATACCTAACAGTTGTAGTTAATCCTGGGGGAAAGAGGTAGCAAGGAAAGAGATTATAGTCAGTGTTAATTATGCCTTCTCTGTAAGATTCTATTTTATTCAAGAATATGAATTATGTAATTAAAAAGCCAATAAATGTTTAATAAACGAGTTGTTTGTGTAAAATATGTTGCCTAAATCATAGTGTCCTCATTCTTAAAAGGTAAATGATATAGTTGGAAAATGGCTTAACATATAGGAAACAATACTAGATACCACGCAATTCACTGATAATTTGAGTGTCACATATCAAAAAGCTACAAGGGGGAGATTAACACGTGCAGAAAAATCTTCATGAATGAAAGCAGAAAATCTTCAAACTTAGGGAGAGTAGAATGAAAGAAGCACTACTCCAAATGGGGACTAGAAAGGGACAGAAGTAGTGACTAAAGAATTAGCATGACCTTTGGAAAGGAATCATACAGATTTGTCAGGAAAAACAACTTCCTGGGAAAGACCAGGATGATTATCTGTGCCATTTACTAACGTTCTGAAACTGGTTGCTGCCTGTTCTCACTTCAGAATATTTCATGATTTCGTTTCTATTTTCTTGACACTGCCAACATTTCAGAAAATGGATTCCTGCATTTTGCAGTAGACCCATGAAAAATCTGCAGACCACACATATCTCTCTTCAATTTTCCTAGAGCACCATTTCAAGTTTGGGCACTTGAAAATGGATAGTCTTGTCTATTTAACAGTTCCTCATGCTTGTTTTTTTCAGTGATACTGTGGATGCCTTTCAGATGAGATCTTAAACCACAGGACTCTAAACAGTACCTACCTAAGTGGATACTCACAAATTTAATTGGTTTATACAGGGCTACAGAAATCAGAAAAGAATAGTTATCAATACAGTAAGTGATAGAAAGGCAGAGGTTTCTAGACAGAGTAACATTAAAAATAGTTTTATTTTGTCAAAATACATTTTATGTAAAATAATACTTCTGAGGTCAAAATTTAAAATTGTCTGACCTATTCACAACTGTTACAATCTCTTATCACAGATGAACTATTATACATCAGAACATTAGTTACCACCACTCTCTACCCCAACCAAGAAAACACTGAAGAAGTATGATGTTAATCTTAACTATTCCAAAATTTTCTGAGAGGGAAAATCAAACATCCAGTACTTAAATAAATACTTCCTCATTTTACTTTATTTAGTTACTTACCCTCTACACAAAAGTACACTTGAGAAACATCACCACATCCTATAGCATTTATAAAGTAATACAGTTAGCCAAAATTCATAATGACTTCTTCTAAGGTCATTCACATCAAATATTTTTTTCCTCAAATATTGAAAATTTTCTGTGTTCTTCCATTTCATCATGAATGCCACCAAAACAATCTTCTCCATAATGAATTAAAATTTTCTTCCAGGTTATTCTGAGTCAGAAAATAAATGTTCAGAATAGACATTTAAAATTAAGGTGTGTTCAGAGGTATTAAGAAGTTTTGTCATGTAGTCCACCAACACTAATAGAAATTTATTATGTCGTACAAACACATTTTTATTACTCAATATTATCCAAGTCATAATCCTATTCCAGAACTAACCTGTACTTTTCTTCATTTTTCTCTCATCAGATAATACTTTCAGGGTAGGGGTTAATACTACAAAGATTCTGGATTCTTAGCATCAGCAAAAGTACACAAATGGTTTTCAACTACACTGGCAAAGTTTTATTTCTTAAACTGGGTGGTCAGATTATGACCATTGTTTTATGCTTTTTACCTTTTATACAAGGTATTCATAGTAAGAGAAAGAGGATGATGTTACATGTATATTTCACAATCAGGTTTTAAAACAAAAAATATTACAAGATTATATAATACATTTACAAATTATCCTGGAGAAAGCCTTGCCAATCAATGCTCCAAAGACAGAAAAAAATAAAGGAAATGATTAATGAATTTAAGTACATCATACTTAAAAATGTTTATTTTTGTCAGAAGAAAACAAACGGGAAATAACTGCAACATTAAGTAGGAGTTAATATACTTATTACTAAAAAGATGTCTTACAAGTAAAGTATTTTAAGCCCACCCATTTATTAAAAATAAGGCATACACGGGCAATTAACTGCAAAAGAAATATAACTGACCAGTACACACATAAGAAAAACTAACCAATACTAAAAGTCAGATGAGGATAATATAAAACAATGAGGCTTTTTCATATGTAAATTGGCAAAATAATATCAGTATTGGTAAAAATCTGGGAAAAGGAAGCAACAAAGCAGCATTACAGTTTTCAGTTGCTAGTCAGACACAGGCAGATGTACTCCAAGGCCCTGGTAAGGTAAAGTCACGGTCAAGGCTTCTCATGAGACAAGAAGCCTCTTCCTGGGCATCTGGGAAAATTCAGCCTGAGTAAAAAGGGAGGTTTTTTTTCCCTTTGATCCTAGCTCGGCCATAGCAACAACTCCCAGCCACTTGTGTGGTTTACTCCGTTTTTCGTGCTTATAAACCCTAGACACTGTAGCCCTAACGGTGTCCTCCCTTAGACCCCCTCCCGATAAGCGGGAGCTTTCCTTTCTTTTTTCACTCTTTCATTAAACTTTGCTGGTTACTCCATACTCATCTGCTGGCTTCGTCCTTCGTCACCTTCAAGACACGATCCTGGTAAAAACGGCATCTCCACCAGTAACATCTTAACCATTCACAAGTGCAATTCAGCAAGACAAGTGCAGACTTCAGAATGAATCTTCACTTTCAGTAATCTAACCTGAAGAGATAATAATAGATGCTCACAGTAATTTGTTGAAAAAAAAAAAAAACAGAAAGCGAAAACGTTATGATTGTATGACCAAAACAGTGAATTGCTTAATTACAGTACACGAAGACAACTGAATACGATGCATTGAAAATGTTGAAAAATAAACGTCATCAAAAAGTTTGCAATCTACTGTTTAATGAAAGAAGACAGATGCAAAGGAGTATGTACAGTAAGTTTTAAATAAAGACCACATAAACACATATGCAAAAATAAAGTACTAAAAAATAAAACGTAATACCAAACTTTATTATTGTCTTCTCGGGCGGGGGATTATGGGTGAGTTTTAAATCGTTATTTCTACATTGTAATGATCGTCCCTTCTAATAAAAATTATACACATTATTTATGCTGTATATATTTGCGGGGAGCGGCGGTGGGGAGGAGAGCAAGCGAGAAGAGATTTACAAAAAGCCAAATACCTCCAGGAGCGGAAAAATTAAACTTCCATCTGGTAATTCCCTGGTTAAAATCGGGAGACACTGTGGGACCTCGAAGGCGCCCCCCAAGTCCCAGGGAGCCTCCAATTCTCCCGGCTGCAATAACATCAGGGAGATCCCAAAACAATGCAGATCGATGCCTTTTGTTCCAAAAGATAATAAAGGTTAAAAAAGAAAGAAAGAAATGCCTATCTCCGTACCAGAGCAGCACCTAACCAGCTGCGAGATACCCACGGAAAGGGCGGTCTGTAGCTAGGACTCGAGCCTGGAGCCAGAAGCCAGCCCGGACACAAAGAGTAGCTCTCCCAGCCACACTTAACGCGCCAGGCGCACCTGCCCCACCTGCCCCCACCCTTACAGAGCCCCCGGTCCACAGCTAGTCCTTCCGGGGCGCACCGACGAAGGCGGGGTGCGAAGGGTCGTAAGGCCCCTCCCAGTTCCGCTCAGTTGCCGCTTGTGATGCGGGCGTCAGCGGCGAGGTCCCTAAAAGACCAAGGAGTCCTTTGGTTAAGGCCCTGGGGCCCCATGGAAGCCGCTCGCGACCCGGGTGTAAGTAGGTAGCCAGGCATCCACCATTCTCGCTTAGCTGGAATCTTTCCTCGCCCGGCCTTGCTTGCTGGGTTAGGATGGCAAAGGACGTTAAGACCTACATCCCTTCCCGGACCCCATGGGATCAGATTGCCGTGCCTTTTCGTAGAATTGTATGGACTCAGTTTGACATACGTAATTGTCGCTGTGGGGCACGGGCAGTAAAAAACACGTGCACCTGTCCATTATTGCCGTAAACTCTTGGCTGCCTTGTGCCTTTTATGGAATTTCATGAATGACATACTCTGCTGGGTTTCCCCGATGTCCTGATATACAGCTTTGTAAATAAGGGGAAAAAAAGAGAGCTGTGTAACAGTTATCTTTACAAAAGTACTCAAAATAATCAGTTCTGCACAGAAGCAGATGCGGGGTGTCTGGGGGTTTAACTGAGAAATTTATAAAATTAATGTGCAAATGAGGAGACTGACTTTCTTAATCCTAATTAAACTAATTTGGATATGTGAGATTAGTTTTAGAATTTAAATTTTTTCTTTTGTTGTACTTAATACAATTGTTTGTACAGGAATTACTTTTACAAATAAAAAAGGACATTTAATGTTTCCTGCCTACACTTTTGTTTCTTATAGACCTTTTAACTTTTTAACATGATTTAGAGCTTACAGTTTCTTTTCAGGATTTACCATTATTTCTTTATAGATGATTCCAGTTCAAGATATATATTAGATTAGTTCACTGTCATTGTGGAATAAATATACAATCATAATTTTATATTTAAGTATGTTTATATATCAAGTATATAATCAGAGTCTAAGAAACCTATATTGCATCTACCTCTAATATTTGACTACAATTTCCTAAAAGCATGTTTGTATCTTGTACATTATATACAATGTGGGTGGGACAGTGTACCTTGCTGTTTTCTCTTTTTGGGAACTAATACTTTCATCCATTTTCAAAGGAATTTACTAATCATGAGATGGGAAAATTTGTATTTCCCTTGCTCACTATGTCTTAATCTAATGTTTAAATTTGACAGAAGGTCTATCTCAGGGAAGAAAACTTATAAAACTACCTTATCGAATTCTGTGTTTTTGTGTTACACATGAGATCTGTATATTTGTACATAGCAATGTTATTTATAAAATAATGTATGAAGAGTTTTAGCAGTTTAGTTGTACTAAAAATAACATGCATCATATGGCCCCTTTAGTGCCTTCTATGGATGTCAGATCCCATGCCGTGTATGGTATTGTCCTATCACGATGCCTGACAAGCTGTGTCTGGACAATGCTCCGGGTTTGACAAGCTGTGTCCGGACCTGTTATCTGAGGTAAATTGGGATTGGGGGACTTCATTTGGGGATTGGCATCTACTCTGGTCAAGCGTCTGGGCTCAGCTCAGGTTTGGTAGCTCAAACTTGAGTCATGCAATGGTCAGTGGTGAGAACTCCTCCTGGGGTCAAGGGTTAAACTTCAACTTGAGTCAGTCATGTCAGTGGTCAACAGAAGATACCGAACTGATCACAAGGGTGGCAACTACATGAATAGCCATCTCAGGCCCCACACAGACATGGAAGAGTGGCCCATAGCACCAGCCCTTGCTTGGTCCTCAGAGCCCGAGCTGTTTGACTAGCCCCAGAACCCAGGGGATCATGAGAGATTCACGGGTCACTGAGGGGCCTAGGTGAGGGCATAACATTTATCCTGGTGAGGGTCTTGGCATGGGGCTAAGACACCCTGGGGAACCTGTTTCCTGCTAGGATGTCAGTGAACAAAAGCTTCCCTGATCAGATCAGTGTCTGGGACCAGGACTTCCAGGGTATTTGAAGCACTGAGTCACTGAACTACTTAAAGCAAACATGCCAACCTCTTCAGGAGCTTACTTCTTTAGGATACAGGAATAGGTAACAGTTCTGATGCCACAGGGTGTTTGTTGAAACTCAATGCACTTTATCCAAGTCCCACCCATAGTAGCTGGTTTTACAAATACTTATTTAGCACTTTGTGTGGGGCTGCCTAGCTCCATAGTGTCTTTCTGTGAATCCAACAGAGGCACACCTTCCTCCAGACCCTCTCTAGGTAAATGTAAACCTGGACAAATCTATGTCTCTGGTTAGAATGGTGCTCCCTACGGTTGCGCAGTGCTTGCTTGACCCACTCAACTGTTCAAGACAGCCTGCTTACAGGGTAAGCACTATTCTAAGCACTTTTCATACAGAAACTCATTTATGAACTTCCAACAACAGCCCTCTAAGGAATCTTACAGCTGGGAAACCCAATTCCCCATTTTGCTAATGTGCTAGGGGATCTCAGCCTGCTTCTTCATTTCAAAAGGGTTGAGTTGCAGACTTGTGTGGGGGCAAGAAGGAACCCTGAGGGTAGAACTAAAGGTGGGAAGGTGGAATGGGCATGGTTATTCATTCCAGCTTATCATATTTGGGAGGAAGTGTTAACCTTTCTCCCTCACCAAGGTGTATTGCCACCATGCCCAGGGTCAGTGGCAACAGGACAGTATATGGGGAGAGTCCCCAAACTCCAGGTTGCAGCCCCTCAAACTTTCCCTGGATTCAGGCTTGATGGAGAAGAGACCTAGAACAAAGATATGCCTTCATGGTGCTTCTAGCTTAGTGGCCAAGATAAAGCCAGACAGAACCACTCAAGCCCCATGTAGTCAAGGCCAAAAAAGTAGGGTTCCTCTCTCTGGGAGGATTGGGAAGGCATCCTGAAGGATGGGGCACTGGAACTAGGACTTTGAAGGATGTGTAGGAGTTTGTTAATTGACCCCCCCCCCAAATGTCCAGTCTTAGTTATCTCTATCAAACCCACTGTGCCAAGCACACAGTCAACCTCAATTAGTGGTAGATAAGTTCATGCCCTCCCCACACAGCTTCTTTTCCATTTCCTGACCCCTAGGACATGTGAGTGGGAAGCTCAGACAAAAAAAGTTTACATGAGTCCAAGATGTGGAGTCCTCTTACAAAGACAGCTATAACTGGGGCCTGGCCACCGATTTGTGAACACTCCCTGGTGGCCAGCTGGCCCATTCTCCCTTTTCCTTCCTGGAGTTGGGACTTGGTTTTCCTATATAAATACTGGAACCCTGCCTCCCTTTGTTGGACTTTAAATGTTTTAACAGCACTGGCTTCTAATGGCAACCAGGAAAACAAGGGGCAGTCAGTTCCTCTCTCAACCCCAGACCCCAAACTGAGACTATGCCCATTCAGTAAGCGTTTAGTATTTACATCTGAAAATAACATAAAGCCAAGAATCTTTTGATGCCCTGACCAGCCAAGGTTGTGCCAAATACAATGCCCAGCCCCATGATTGTTGTACTACAATATCTAGCCCCAGGAAATGTTTCCATATCTTGGCTACTACTGAATAATGCTGCAATAAACATGGAGTGAATATGTCCCTTCAATAATCTGCTTTCATTTCCTTTGGATATATACCCATTAATGAGATTACTGGTTCATACATATAATTCTATTTTTTAATTTTCTTAGGAACCTCCACACTGTTCTCCATAATGGCTGAACATTTACAATCCCAAAAACAGTGCACAAGGGTTTCCTTTTTTCCACATCTTTGCCAACACTAATATCTTTTTGATGGCAGTCATTCTTACAAGTGTGAAGTGATAGCTCATCAGTTTTGATTGGCATTTTCCTCATGATTAGTGATGCTGAGCACTTTTTTATGCACCATTGCCTATTGGAATGTCTTAGGTAAAATATTCAGTTCTGTACTTTTTAAAGTCAGACTTTTTATTATTTAGTTGCATGAGTTCTTTACAAATTTTTTATATTAACTCATCTGACATACGGTTTACAAAAATCTCATTCTGCAGTTGCCTTTTCATTTTGTTGTTTCTTTTGCTGTGCAGACGCTTTTAAGTTTGATGTAATCCTACTTGGATTTTTTTGTTTGTGCTTTTCGTGTCAGATCTAAAAAATTATTGTGAAGGGGTTTCTGCCTTTGACAGGAGGGATGCTTCATGGTTTCAGGTTTCAGGTTTCAGGTTTAAGTCTTTGAACCATATAGAGTTAATTTTGTGAGTGGTTTAAGATAGGGGTCCAATTTCATTTTTCTGCATATGCTTACCCAGTTGTTCCAACCCTGTTTAAGAGACTATCTTTTCCCCACCTGATGGTCCTGACTCCTTTACCAAATATTAGCTGGCTAAATATTTGGGGGTTTAATTCCAGGCTCTCAGTTTTGTTGCATTGGTCTATGTTTCTTATTTTAATACTAGTACCATACTATTTTAATTACTATAGCTTTGTGGTAGTTTGAAACCAGGGGTGTGATGCCTATAGCTTTATTCTTGCTTCTTGGGATTGCTGGCTATTCGGGGTCATTTCTGATTCCATATAATTTTTAAGACTGTTTTTTCTTTTTCTGAAAAAAATGCCTTTGGGATTTTGACAAGGATTTTGCATTTCTATAGATGGATTGGTGGCATGGCCACATTCTGTATGGCTATAGAGAAGAGGACCTGATGGAGGTTCTATTAAGCCATGGTCCAGCCCTTTTCTCCACCAAGCTTACCAGTGTATGATAGGGACTCTCCAGGTATTGAGGTGATCTGAATTTCTCCAACATCCTCTATAATTTAATCTATAGATGGCTTGGTGGCATGTCCATATTAATATTTACTCTTCTAATCCATAATCATTGGATGTTCTTCCATTTTTTGTGTGTCTATTTCTTTTAGCAGTCTTGGGTTTTCATTTTACAGATCTTTCACTTCCTTGGTTAAATTCCTAGGCATTTTGTTGCTTTTGAAGCTGTTGTGAACATTTTAATTTTCTTTCTTTTTCAGATATTTCATTATTAATGCATAGAAAAGCAACTGATTTGTGTATTGATTATATATATCCTGCAACTTTACTGAATTCATTAGATCCTGCAGTTAAGTCATCTTTTATATCTTAATTTCAAATAAAATACTAACATTTATAATTATCCAGCCATATCTTGGTTTGTAAGACAATTAACAACTGTGCTCACCCCAAATATATTAGTGAAAATAGTAAGTGAACTCCTGTGAGAGTGACAAGGTTACTTATGAGTAAATCCAAGTTTTAAAAGTAGATGCAGATTTTGTTGTCAGTGGACTCAGAAGGCATATAATTCTCATATACACTTTCATTGTATTTCATTCATAATAAATTACATCTTTGATAGTGTATTTTGTAGGAATTCTAAGATTAAACAGAGTAGCTAAATAAAATTTCAAAAATGTAATAAATTTCCACATGCTACCTGTGACCTGTTGTGTCAGCATTTCTAAGTCATTAAGACTTGTTTTTACTTCATCACTTCATGCTCTGGATACTTCTTTTCATTACCTAGAATGATTATAGGAAAATCATGCCAAAGTGAAATTTGGATCACTCTCCCCAAACATACTATATGGCTATAGAGAAGAGGACCTGATGGAGGCTCTATTAAGCCATGGTCCAGCCCTTTTCTCCACCAAGCTTACCAATCTATGATAGGGACTCTCCAGGTGTTGAGGTGATCTGAATTTCTCCAACATCCTCTTCTGGGCCTAGATTAAATTCTTCTCCTCTGGGTAGAATATGGCCCGGTTGATAGTAATGATAGAGTATGGTCCAGGTAGTAATCCTGGATCTGAGTTTGCTTTAACTGACACTCAGATCCTTACTCTCCCACAACATCCCTCTGGCCTGACAACTTAGTCTCTAAAATGTACCTTAGTCCATAGAAGGGGCAATGTTCCCCAATGGGGACATGCCACAGGTTCAGGAAGGCTGGATACAAAGGGAACTCACCTCAGACCCCAGACTGAGCCACAAGACCCCTCTTGTTCCCAGGCTCTCACCTCCATAGGCCCTTTCCATCGCTGAGGGGCCTGTGTTCATCAGTTCTGGCTGTCACCTCTCCCACTTCAGTATAGTAAGAATGGCATTAGTCACAACTGGCTGGTCAAGAGCAACGATGTAAATTATTGCTAAATTTCTTAGGTATGATATCAGAATTATGGTTATGTTGGAAAGTATCCTTTTCAGGAGATGCATGCTGACGTATTGAGATCATGTCATGGTATCTCATTTTCAAAGTTTAGAAAAAGAAACACAGAGCACATGTGCAGGGCATTACTGTTTTTCACTAATTCTCTGCTTATGAACAGGAAAACTGAGATCAACAGAGACCTGTTCATAGGTCAAAGCACCAGGATTACACATAATTCTGCCAGAGGGTGACCGATTAATCCTGAAGGCATATTTGCTCACAGTAGGGAGAAACAACTGACAGCACTACATCAGCCTCAGGATTGTCTATCCTGGACCACACACTGATTATAATTTGGAGGAACATCAAATGTGAAATGAACATACTTGGACATCTGTAAATTGAACACTGGTTGGGAGAGCTATGTGTAGGCTTCATAGCTGGGGTTAAAAATAACCTGAAGCACAAGCTCAGGTCAAGGCCCTCTGTCAATGAATTTTTTAGAGACAAGATTGTATTCTTTTCTTAAATTCAAAATGTAAACAGTATTTACTGAAAAGCCCACTTAATTGGTCAGGACTCTTAGTGGCAAGTTAAAAAAAAAAAAAAAGGGTCTAGGAATGTATGTTTTAGGCATGGCTGTTGCCAGGCTCAAAATTACTGTGGGTTTTCTCCCCACCTTAGTAAAGACTTTCCACCTGGCAGGGCACCTACAAGCTCACATCCTATCAGCTTAGCAACCCCAGCAGTACATGCCTATCCTTCAACTTAGCAGTCATGTGAGCCAATTATTCCTTTATGCTAAGGGTTTCTGTCACTTGCAATAAGCATTCTAAAATTGAAATTAAAGAGTAATCCACAAACAGGGATGATGGTATAACCCATCAGATTCTCTCTTCAAAACTCTGAAAATAAGAGTAGCTGTATAAGCAAAAGTTGAAAGAACATACAGAGGAAGGCAATCCAGGCCATGATGAAAAAGAACTTACTCTTGATAAATTATTTCAGCTTCTATTCTCTACCTCTTCTCTACCTTATATCTTCTGCTTATTCATAACTTCAGCTTACTCTTGGTCCTATTAGCATCATGGTCTGGATTGCTGCATAATACCCTAAACTGATCTCACCCTGGGACCATTCTGTTAAAAACGTCAAAAGGCAATTGCCAGCAATGCCCTCTGGGCTTTACACAGAACAAGTAAGAACAGGTTTCCACTTCCAATTTATAAGGATTCTGATACTCAACATGATATCCTATGATCCAAAACAACTAGTATAAGTAATGTGCTAATGACATCTGGATCAAGATGTGGGCTACCCTAAGGCAGAAGCCTTTGACAAGACAACCAAGATCCTTTGCAGGTAAGTAATTGTGACTATAATTTTCCTGGATCTTCAAGTTACTTAACATCTCTGAGTCTCAATTCCTGTGACAGTAAAATGAGTGAAAAATTACCCACTTCACTGACTTGGAATAAATGAACATATGTAAAATGGCTGATACACAGTCACTGCTCAGTAAATATTAGTTCTCTTCCCCCAAATTTTAATGTCATTTACTATATGAAGTATTACTCAATTACCTTCTTTTGCTCAAATATCTTAAAATATATACAATGGGATAGTATCCACATATGACAAAGGGTTCTTTAAACACATAAAAAGTTTTACTGCAATTTTCCAAACATTTTTATTGGCTTTAAAATTCTTTTAAGGGATATACAGATATACAACTAGTTTGATCAGCTACTAATATATTTTGGTATCCCTTTATTTTTGCACTCAAGAGCCAGTTCACTTTATCTCCATGTTCAATATTTAGCTTTGGTAAAATTTTAACATGTTCTTCATCTGTTACTGAAGCATGAGTGTTTCCACCCTGCTTGGTGTAAGTTGCTCTTTTAGTTTTCTTTCTGTGGGTATGTTTTGAAGGACTTTTCTGTTTTTTCTCAACTTCACTGCTTATATCCCACAACATTATTTTCCTATCATTCCCTCCAGTAAGCAGCAAATAGGATTCTGGCAGAAAGCAGACCTGGGATACCCCTAAAGTGTGGCCCTTAAATCCTAGTTCCTGTTCACACTTGACTCCCATCACCCTAAAGACTCGAATCTTACCATCTTCTGCACCACAACTGAAAATATTGCCACACGATGCTACAGACACAGAGTGGGCTAGAGCAGGATTTAAAAGCTGACCAGGTGACTGTGGGCTTTCTATTTCTTCTGTTTCATCTTCCTGTAAATTTGTAATCCAGAGTGGCCGGGCTTTCTGAAGGTTCCACAGCATGACCTTTAAATAAGAGGAAGTTATATAGTTAAACAGGGTTCTAGCCTTTTGCTCAACTACTATGCTTATTCTACTTCTAAGAAAATCATCAAAGTAGTCTGAGAATGAATAGTAGGATACATTTCCAGCAATATAAAAAAAAAGTTCAGATCACACAACATACCAGTGGAATGCTACCTAGTGCCAAAACTAGAATACCAATTGGGCAGTAAGGTAGAATTTAGAAAACAAGATTCTAAGTAACTTTTGATTGACAAACTCATTGAAGTATAATCCAAATTCTTAACCAGTTGCCAGTTTCTTTAAAGACATTCTACCTTCCTCTCTGCAAGTAAAATTGAAGATTATGATATTCATTAATTTTAGTCAATGCTGGTTACAAGTAAAAATGCCTCTAAACTAAATAACCTAAGTCTGGAACATCACTGAAATAGTATCTGTCTGAAATGCTTTTCCTTTCTGTTCCTTCCATGTTACTGAAATTACTGATTTTAGGGTGCTTATCCCTGTTACTCCAGGAAGGCTTCCCTAACTATTCCAGCCCACTTCTCTTTCCCATATTTAATTATTTTATTAATTGACATATATTAGCTTGTCAGTTTCTTGAGATTTATTTCACCTTTCCTAATGTCAAGCATAATGCCTGTAAAAGAGCAGAAATTCTAATATCTGTTGATTAATTTGACATCCTGGTATATTCGACATTTTGTTGTTGTTCCATACCACGATCTTAGACCTACTAAACTGATTTAAAGGAAATGCTACTTAAAACCCATTTAAAACAAAACAATAAACTTTCTAAATTGATGTTACTCTGTAATCAAGTAATTCATTTTCTTCCCATAAAACCAATTTGAAAAGAAAAACATTCTTCATACTTTCAAAGAGAATAGACAGCTTTATTTTACCATCAGGCATTATCCTAACTTATTATTCACAATTTAAAGTGGACACTAGGATAAGCATGAACTTGTTTAGATAGTCAAAAGCATAGATCTGAATTGACAAGATTATTACTACTGATGGCATTATGAAGTTGGTTTTCTGTTGAAGGCAACTTCCCTCAACTCAGCCTGCTTTCAAAAGAAGTGACCTTTAATAACACCTCTCCTCTTCTTCTACTAGGGATAACACTGAAAATCCTTTTGGGATGGATTTATAACATTATAGTAAGTGGCCAGCAATCACTATTTGGATGAAGCCAAAACACTCACAAACTGAAGCAAATTAAAATAATTATCAAAAAATATTTTTAAAAATGAGTTCTGAAACTTGATGTGGAAATAGTCTGTATAAAAAAACTTAAATACAAGGCAACTAGACATTCCTGAGTCTGCTAGCTTAACTATACTAACTGTTTAACTTTAACCAATTTCTTTCTTGCACCTATAATGCATGGTTTATATTTTCTGTCCTCCTAAGACATCCAAACAAGAACTACACCCAAAATATTTACAGCAGCTTAAACATTTTTTTTCTATTTGCTTAAATCATTTAAATGTGTTAATAGCCATACCAGGTTCTACCAATCTAAGAATCATTTCTAAGTAATGAAGATTCCCCAAACTGTTCCTGCCTGGACATTTCTCTTTTTATGCTTCTTTACTCTTCCTAAGATTCCAAGGTGTTTCACAATTTCTCAACCACCTGTTCAAGCATTATCACACCCTAAGCAGGAGAGCTAGAGATACTGAAGGAAAAGAATACGAGAATTTGTGGTTTATGATCCTATAAAACATCAAAGGTAGATAAAGTACACTACTAGCAAAGGTTTAGAAATGAGTGCAACATCAAAGTGACCCTACTCAAAAACTTCTCCCCTTACAAAAACATTTCTTTATGCATACAAGATTCATTTTTCAAAGAAATAAAGCCTTCTCCTCCACCATCCCAAACCCTTAAGTGTTGGCACTGGTGATCTTTCAAATTCCAGAAAAAATAATAAACCTTTGAACCACTTATTTTTGGACGTGAAAATGAGGGGGGAAAAATCAACATGTATGCTACAGAAATATAAGATGCTTTCAACTTTCCAAAGGTCTTTACAAAAAAAAAAAAAAATGTGTGTGTGTGTGTATACACACACACACAATATTTGAGTGATGGGTACACGTATATTTCCTGAATGTCCTTCTTTACACCTCACATATATATTATTCAGTACCTATTTATTAAAAAAATCAAGTAGTTGAAAAAGTGTCTTAATAAATCACATTTTGTTCTTAAGGTCCCTGCCTATTTGAATGTGCTGCTTATCAGATTTGATTATAATAAAAAGTAATATATGTAAAGCATTGGCAAGTACTAAGAGCTTGCCAAAGAGTAGCCATGGTTATTCTCACACCAATGATAGGAGATTTACTCTCAGCAGAAGTATATCTGCTCTGGGAAAATTCAAGCTATTTGAAAGCTTTCTTTTATTAAACCAAAATCTGCTTCCCTATGACTTCCATTTACACCAGCATATTCCACTTTTCCCCCTCTTGAAAAACAAGAATTAAACACCTCTAGTTCCTCACATAATAGAATTTCTAGATATATTTACTTTCCCCACAGCCTTACTCTGAATTTGTGATGTTCCTTTCAAAACTCAGGGTTGAATACAATGCTGATACTAGTCACCAATGAGCAGTATTTCAATTAATGCACTCCAGAATTTTATAGTAGAAACAACACATCTAGTCCTCCCCACTTTTTTTTTTAAGCACCAGAATTTGTATAGAGTGGGTGATAAACTCTGCTTCCAGTATGCCCCTTCATTTAAACAGATTATTTAGAATCAAATATTTCATTTCTTAAGTTTTGGAAATGTCTTAAAGCCCAAAGAAAGGAAGACTAAAGAATTAACGATTACTTTGTGAATACTACTAGACTTTCCAAGTAGCATTAAACATGCAGAAGTAAATAAAGCTTATGAAGTAAATAGATAAGCTTATTCATAAATACATAAGACATGTTAGAAGAATATATAGAAAATACAAAGATACATTTTAGCCAGATCAATAATTTGATTGTTAGCCAACGTTACTTAGAAATTACCCAACTACTATGCAAAGCATCACCTGCATATCCAGTCCACATGACACGAGGCTCTGAGGCTTTTGAGGCCGAAAAGCTACAGAGGAACAAATATTGGCATGTTTCTTCAGTGATCTGCTAACTTTCCTATTTTCCAAGTCTAGGATTTTGATTGCCCCAGAATCATCAGCAGAAGCCAACAGGTTTTCAGTTTCATTCAATGAAAGACAATTGATTTCTTCTTCATTCACATGAAAATGGTCCAGGGAACCTTTGAGGGACCTGACATCCAGTATGCTAATTGTTTCTCCATGTGAGGCATACAGCTTGGTGGGGCAGGAGGGTGAGAATAAGACACTGGTAACATCATCAGCCCCTTCAAAGTGCGTGTGTCCTAATGGAGTCCCATCTTCACCCCAAGCCATTAGATCTCCACCCTCTGCTCCAGAAGCCACTAGCCCTTCTTGACTTGCATTCAGGCAGAGAATAGGAGAAGAATGTCCACCAGTCCACTTGACTGCCATAATGGCCCAGAAGACTCTGTGAAAAGGGGGAAAAAACTATAATCTCATGTTTTATATAAGAACATAATCGTAGGAGACAATGCAGTAAGCAATACTTCATTTAAACATTTTTTGAAAAGACATCTAGAAAACTTAACCAATAAAAAGAACAAGTCTACAAAAGCCTAGATGAACACAGGATGTGGTCCACCAGGGGGGCACATGCCTAAATGGGCTTCCCTTGTAAACAGGGACCCAGGTAAGCCTGGTCTTCCAGCTTTTGATGTGACACCCAAATAAGAATAAATACTAAATATATTTATTTTAAATTAGGAAAAATTCTTTTTAAAAGGGGCTTGCACAATCATCAGGTTTTATCTTTTACTGACTGTTTCAGAAAATAAGCTCTGGAGCTAAACTCTCTGGGTTTGAATAGCTCTACTACTTAGTAACTGGATGACTTTGGGCATATTACTAAATCTCTCTGTGATTCACTTTCCTTCCCTATAAAATGGAGGTAATACTAATACCTACTTCATATGATCAGAGAGGATTAAATGAGATGATACACATCTAATAGTCCCTGTTACATAATGAGTGACCCCAAAATATTACCATTATCACTTTTCCTAGCTGTATAAGGTTGGTTGAGACTTGGGGTCCAGCCATATAGGCAATTCTTAAGTATGCTAGAATTTGAGAACCTCTACTATACCAATAATCATTTGGGAAACTGGTTAAAAATGCAGATCTTTGGATCTTACCACCAAAGACTATTTCAGTATGTTATTTAATTTTATTCTTGAAACAACCCGTTTCTTTGGTATTACTCCATTTTACAGATAATGAAACTGAGTCTCAGAAATGTTAAATAATTTGCCCAAATCACCTGGCCCTTCGAATTTGTACATGGGATACAATTTAAAGGGATCCCAAACTTCTAAATAATGAAGACCCTTTTTTAATAATTCCACTTTGACAAATATTAACTTGTTACTATTCTTTTAAACTACAGAAATGACAAAAGCTACCAATAATTCATTACTGCTTTTAAACGTACTCACTTATTTTTAATCACATTATCACCTACTTGCACTTATACAACAGTAGTACTATGTGGAAAATTTAGATTCTTGATATGCTAGGCATCCCAGATCTGTAACTCAGTTTGCAACATAATACTACGCCTGCCTTAACTGCCTATTGGACAAAGCAAAAAAGGAAACTGGGGCAATTTATACAACTCTAAATTGTCAGACAAAAGGAAGCAAACAATTATCTGGACAAATTTAACTTTTTATTATAACAATCAAACAAGTCAAGGGAAAATCTGTCTAGTGAGAAACTGCCAAAGTTGCTTTACCATTTTCATATATGATATCTGAATTTAGTTCTATCATAGAGATGAATTTCCTAATGTTGTTTTGAGAAATCATTTAAAATAACCTGATGCTACTGAAAGTTTCTATTCCCTACCACTTTTAGCCGCACATACACAAAAAATCACTAAATTGCTAAAAAGTCACTAAGCTATTAGTAATCAAAGTAACAGAAACACAGTCACAAAATCATATATAGATATAGTAATTTTCATAAAGATGGCAAAATGGGAAAAAAGATGGAAAGATATATCTTTCAGCAGAGAATTCGCATGCAGAGAAAACTAAAGAGAATGAAGCAAAGTTTTAAAGGAAGGTTTGGAGAGGAAATGACTCAGGGAAGTAAAGACAGGGAACTCTGGTGGTTTGATTTTTGCTGACAAGTACTAAATAATAATTAAGTAACTTTCTACCATATCAAAGACTCTTGCCAAATGTTCCAGATGAACCAAAGAAAAGGACACTTAGCACAATTTAAATGAAAGGTATTAATATTATTAGGCTTAGTCATCTGTGGTGACTACTGACTTATATGATAAACACAGTATCTTACCTTAAAATATGAAATTTGAATTAACCATTAAAAAGGCCATATAAGTTACAAATAATTTTGCTTAACTCTGTTATGAATCTTTAGAGTATTGATCACTTATTTCCAAAGTTAAGAGTTTTAATTTATCTATGATGAATCTAATTTAAAGCCTGGATGTCTGGCCTCTACAGCTTTAGAATTCTGTATGCATATAGGTTTTGTATATCTGCTAGGATTTTAGATTTTCTCAAGGACAAGACTGAGGTAGGGCTTCTAGTACCTCTATTTCTCTATCACTGATCTACCCACAGGGGACCTGTGTAAATGCTGACTGGCAGACAAAGTTTTAGCAGGTTTTCTTCCTAATACAATTCCTTTTCAACAACACAGTTCCTGTCAATTTTTCCATAAAGGAACCAGCAGTAACTCTTGGTCTATTAATCTCACAAGACCAAGGTCGGCTCTACCTTAACCTCTATGCACCAGAGTAAAAAATAAATTAAACTTCTAATCTTCACATAACATGGATACTGATCACTTAACTAGTCAGAAAAACAAAAATAGAATGCAAGTGAAGTTAAGAAAAAGAGTTGGGAAAGCCCCAGAAATCCATACACTGAGGCTTTTAATTTCATCCTGCAGGTACTGATCAGTGAGTGAGTCAACCAGAGTCCCCAAAATCACTTGTTTACTTGGTCTAAAAAATTAAAAATATGTATTATTATTTGAAACCCAACCAAAGATACCATTAAAATGGGTTAATCAGACTGCTGTGGTAGAAGGCAGTGGGAAAAAATGTAATTAAATCTGGGTTAAATCAAAACAGTCTTTCACAATGAGTTGTCAAGTCAGTTTGTTTTTCTCTTACTGGGACTGGAAAGCCCAGGATAAATAGTTAAGTGCCATTATCCCCATATTCAGGTATCAAGTCAACAGGCTTAAGAAGATGCCTAAAAGATCAAGCACAGCAATTGATCATATCCTATTATGAATTACGTTAACTAGATAATAGATTCCTTCCTTCCAGCACCTAATGAGACCATGGAGTGGCGGACAAAGGTAGGGTATTTTGAAAACATTTTTAGAAAGGGTGGAGTGTCAAGATGGAAGTTCTGAACAGCCAGAGGGCAGAAGAGGGTACCGAACGTGGGAGATGGGGTAGGTCGGGAGGTGAGGAGCAGACGAAAAGATGGATCATACCCAGCAAGGCATCTGGAAAAATTTCTTACTACAGAAAAACAAAACAGTGGAATTGACTACTAAGGGCATCTGTGAACACTATTATTATAGTAACAACCTCATAGAGTCTGTTTGAGTTATAAAAACTCGCGTAAAGGACCCTAGTAAAGTGCCTGGCTCACACGATGTTTATTATTTTCTCTTACTAAGCATTCTTTAAAGGCTGTCGGAAAACTTTCTGGTCGTCTAGAAAGACGCAGTATAACCAAATAATGCTTAAATTTTCTCTTCCAAGAACCCGTTTATAATTATAGCCTCCACGTCATTTTTCTCACTGAAATGTCTAAATAAAACACACTTCCTTGATCCGCCTACTGATCTGTGCTTTGGTAGGAATGACTGGGAAAGGCTACGTTTTGCCAAAAAAAAAAAAAAAATTTTAGCAATCAATAAACACTTAAACAGCACAAGATCATCCAAACATTGGGAGGGTGGAGGGGATGTTCAAATGGGACCACCTTACTTTCCGAATACACGCCAGGACACACGTTCTGATAAGCACCGGTATTAGGGGCGAGCAAGAGAACTTGATGACGAAAAGACATCTCAGCTACTTAAGGAAAAGAAACATCAACTCAAGCCGAAAGTGGCGAAGCTAGGAACTGGCTAGCAAGGGGAGGGAAATCTTATGCGTTAGGTTGAGGTCTGAAGCAGAAACCTCACTGACCCTGGGAAATCTCACTGGAAAAAGCGGCTCAGGAAAACCCAAGCGAGACCCCGAGGTCGAAGAGAGACGACAGCCACAAATAAGCCGGCGTAAGCATCATACCTGCGCTTTCCCGTTTCCCTCCTCCGCGCCTCGTGATGACCTCACTCATGGGCGCCCAATCTCTTTTTGTGTAGGGCACGAGGCGCCGCAGCCCAACAGTCACATCCGGGGCCGAGAGGAACCGCGAGCGAGCCGGGTGTGCGCCCTTGCTTCGTGCCCTCAACCCGCATGGCGGAGTCACCCGCTCGCCGCTGGGAGGCCGTGCGGGTCGAGCGGTTCCGGCGCGCGCGCTGAGCCGCGGGGGAGGGGTGGGGGACGCTTGTGCGGCCGGGGCGTCTGCCCTCACTGAGGCGGGGCGCGTGGCGGACGCCCCGGGGCAGGGGCGGGAGAGGTGAAGGGGTGGATGGTTGGCTGTGAAAGGGGCGGTGAGTAAGCTGCTCCGGTTTCTAGGCGAGGCTTGACCGCCTCAGGCGAGACGGGGGCAAGCGGCGGCGGTGGCGGCCCTCGGGCCGGCTGGTGAGACGATGGCGGCGCCGGGCCCGGGGGCTGGAGCGGCCTCGGGCGGCGCGGGTTGTAGCGGCGGCGGCGGCGGCTCGGGCGCCGGCTCGGGCTCCGGGTTGGCGGGGGCCGGAGGCCGGCTGCCCAGCCGGGTGCTGGAGTTAGTATTCTCCTACCTGGAGCTGTCCGAGCTGCAGAGCTGCACCCTGGTGTGCAAGCACTGGTATCGCTGCCTGCACGGCGATGAGAACAGCGAGGTGTGGCGGAGCCTGTGCGCCCGCAGCCTAGCAGAAGAGGCTCTGCGCACGGACATTCTCTGCAACCTGCCCAGCTACAAGGCCAAGGTGAGGGAGCCACGGGCCCCACCGCTGACCCCGGTCCCGCTCCTCAGCACCGCTGTCCCTGCTTCTCATCTTAAGCTAAGACACCTCGCCTCACCAATCCCGCCTTTCCACGCTCCTGTTTACCCTAGCTCACCTCCCCTCCCCATAAAAATCCTCTTTGAAGTTCTGCTCCTTAACCCTCCCCACTGCCGTGATACAGTTTTGAAAAGACCAAATGCTTTCCCATCCCTGATGTCAATCACTTACTCTACTTTCCATAGGCTTTCCCCTTAAAGACAGACTACCCCCGTTGTTGTACCTTTCAATACTCTTCTTCCTGTTTTTCTCCCTGCCTTCCAAATAGGCTTTATTAGAGAATCTCGACTGCCTTAACATGGGCCTAATTTCTAAGATCTTTGCTTTCACCCCCACATTCACCTCACCTTTTCCAAGCTCCGGTTTATAACCATTTTTTATTTGTGTCTCCCAAATTCTCTTTAATTCTCTCCACTGTTTCTGGCTTATAAGTGAGTGTGGTCCTAGATACCCTCCTAACTTTAAAGATAGAGACTTTTATAGAACATTCTCCCATTGGCACCACTTAACTATCGTAACACTGCTGTATCCCACTGGTATTGGTACTTTCTTGCCAACTTTTTCGTAGTTGCACCTTGATGGCGTGCCTCTTCTCTTCGATTTGTCATCTGTCGTGCTGATGACAGTTTTGCTGCCTTTTTTCCTCCTAGATTCTTGTGCATATTCATGTCGTCTTCATAGACAAAAATGTCAAGTAATAGATTATGATAGGGCTGGAAAGATTTTTCAAACGATATAAACAAAAGGCCTTGAGCTTGAGTTCAGTTGGATGAATGACAGCTGGATAAAGTCTGACCCAGAAAGTGGTAAACATAAAAAATATATTAATAACTAAAAATGGAAAACATCCCTTTTTAAAAGTATACTGCCAACAGCAGTCAGAATAAGTAAATTTTTTCCATGTGAAATAGATATAAAATTTATTCTTCTGTAATAAAGCAGTTTTAGTTTAATAAGGAATATTGCTATTAAATATGTCAACTACCAAAATTTTTTTTTTGGTGTCATTAATCTACAATCAACATGAGCAACATTGTTTTTTATTGAGGGAAATAACATGTTCATTTACTAGGACAATATTTGTACCTAATAAATGCTCAATGGATATTAGTTGTAATTTTTATAGTAAAGTGCAGCAGATTGCATTTTTGTCCTAATTTGCCTGATAAGTGTAGGCTTCATAAGTTTTAGTTAGTGAACATTTTTCAATAAGGTTTTTTTTTTTACTTATTTTAAATTAAAAGACTTTTTGTAATTGGACTGTAATAGAGATACTCACATGATTGAAATTTCACATGATTTCTAATAATATGTTCATGTGAGTCAATGTTCAAAGGAAACAAAATGGTATAAAGCAAAATGTCTTTCTTTGCCCTTGTCCCACAGCCACCCACTTTCCCTCCTTGGAGAAAGCCTGTGTTAACTGTTTCTTTTGTATCCTTCTGGAGATGTTTTAGGCTTGTTAAGTTTTTTATTACTTTATATGTGTTCCTACTACACACATTATAGCTATTTACACTTGTACTAATCACACATTCATTAAGATGTTATAGGACTTCCCTTGAACATCTTGAGGATAAAAAGATTAATTCAGAGGAAGTCAGACAGGCTAGTAAGGAAGTCCTCAGTCTAGAGGAGGAGAAATCATATATAGAAATAACTAACACCTGGTAGAGATTGCTCCTATTAGAGATAGAAAAAAATATATGTAATAGAAATTCAGTTAAAGGAGAGATTTTTGAGTGAAGAATTGGAGAAGGTTTGAGGCTGATATTGTATTTGAGCTGAATTTTAAAGATGGGGAGGATTTAACACTTTACTAAGAGGAAATATCCTGAACAAAAGCAGAAAAAAGAGGAAAGCAAAGCCTTTTATAGCATCTATTATTTTTTAAAATATGAGTGCCAGACATTATGCTCAGTTTTGCAGATGCAACACAAACCCTAATGAATGCCTTGTCTTATAAAGCTTACAATCGGGGTGGCGGGATGGATACGGACATTAATCAAATGATCACACAGATATAGAATTGCATCTGTGGTAAGTACTATGAGGGAGATACAGAGTGCTCTAAATGTTAGTAATGACCTAGTTAAGGAGGTCAGGGAAGGCTTTCTCTGAGGAAATAATGCATGAACTGAGTGAGACCTGAAGTAAAAGGATAAACAGGCCAAGGGGAGAGGCAAGAAAGCCTTCCATGAGGGAATGTAATGAGTATAAGGGACAGAAAATACGTTGGTATGTCTGGAGAATAGAGAGCAAAGGTGAGGCAGGTTTGAGATAAGATAGAAGAGGTGGACTGGAGCCAAACTGTAGGGAAGCCATTTTGAATTCTAAGCAAAAGTGTGGTGATTGGTGATACAGTTATTCAGTATGGAGAACAGATTGGAGGGGGACCTAAAAAATATGGGTAGATTAATTAGGAAGTAGGTAGTGGAGGAGATGGGTAGAGATTCCAGAAGTAAAATCTACAGGACTCCACAATAGATTTGAAATAGGAGAGAGAAAGTGGAGATTCTAAGGATGACTCCTGGGTATCTGGCTTACGTGGTACAGAGGTCACCTGGGCTAGATTCAGGAGGAATAACTAGTTTGGTTTTGGTAAAGTAGAATTTACACTTTTTGGAGACATCCAAGAGATTTCAGGTAGGCAGTGTAAAATTGAATTGAAGTAGTGGGAAATACAGTTATAGAGTAAGCTGAAGCTAGATACCTCATGGAGGTCTTTGCCATACACTCATCAATCTATAGTTAGGGTTTTGTTTTACAGTTAGAAACCGTAAATGTTTGAACAGAAGAATGACAAATAAGGGCTGTGCTTAGAAAAACTAGGCCATAAAATGAATTTGTGAGGGCAGGGTTTAGTGCCTAACCAGAGGTACTTAAGACCTGAATAAGTGTATAGAGAGAAGGGGATGGTTGGGAGAGCTGTTGCAAAAAACAAATCCACACAGGTGGACAGCTGCAGGGTAAATGAAATGAGGAAGAAGAGTCAGATAGGATTTCCAGGGAGCCTGAGTAACAAGGATGGGAACAGGCTTGGGATAGCATAAAACTGGAAAGTATTTGAAGTTGTCAGTCTATTCTGGATTTGTCTTTCTGAAGTTCATACTTTACATGTCACCAAATAACATCAATTATTCAAGCCACTCTGGCATCTAACTCTGAATCTCTAAGTTTCAGTCTTTGATCCTAAACTAGGTCCTAAAGCTGTTTGCTATAATGTAAAGTCCAGGTTGTGTATGACACTGTAAGATGGGAACTATAGATTTTTTAAATTAGTTTGAATGTTTATTTTTCTATTTCATCTGAATTTTTCAGTATCTATCTCCAAAAGATAAGGACACTTGACATAATCACAGTACCATTATCACACCTAAAGAAATTAGTACTAATTCCTTAATATAAAAGATGCAGTGTTCAAATTTCCAGTTGTCTCTTAAATATCAAATGTGGTAATTTTAATTTTCAGTTTATTTAAGATTTATATAAGGTTCCCATGGCAAATAGTTGATACGTCTCTTAAGGCTATTCAGTCTACAGATTGACCCTCCATCTCCCCTACATCTCACCCCTACAGTTTATTTGTTGAAGAAACTAGATTATTTACCCTACAGTTTCCCTCAGTCTTTATTTTGTGGATTTCATTTCCATGGTGTTGTTTAACACACTCTTCTGTCCTCTTTATTTCCTGTAGAGGTTTGATCATTTTAAATTATAGTTTTTAATTTTTTTTGCAAGGCATTTTTTTCTAGAACCAAGTGGTTAGGATATGTACAGAATTAAGTGTTGTATGTTACAGACTATGATGGGTACGAATTCAGGAGAGGGAAGTCAGGGGAATTGGGTGGTCTTGGTCAAGAAATACTTCAAGGAGGTGCTAAGACTAGATCTGCTCTTCAACAATATGTTGGAGGGGGAAAGCAAGTATTATACTACAGACAAGGAGAACGACATGAAGTTGAAAGGTAAATAGGAGGAACCAAACCTGGAAAGCTTTGAAAGCCACCCAGAAGAAGTTACAGTTGATACGGTAGTCAATATGGAAGGTTACTAAATTGGAATGCGATGTAATAAAAGTGCTGTTTTAGAATGACAGGTCTGGAAAGAATTCAGGTAGAGGATTAAGGACTAAGTTCTGGAAAGTTTGGGGGGACAGAAAAGGATGGTCACCAAAAAGATATTGTGAAGGATCAGGCCAGGGTAATAGAAAGATGTCATACAAATTTGAGGAAAAGGTTGACAACAGTGTTATTGTGACAAAGAGAATAAGGATAGAGAAAACGCAATTGGTGTAATTGGTAGTTTTACAAAAATTGGACAATAGGCATTAGGTAAGTACTAATCAGATATTTTATAATGAGGATTTTATAAAGTATGTTATATTTTAATTGTCTTGATCTCAATCTCCTGAGTTATTTAGGCAGTACTTAATATTTTGAGGACCTTTTACCCTCCTATTTAATCCTATGTTCTAATACTTTAGTGCTTAAAAGTGTGCTATAATAGGAGCAGATAGAAAAATATATATATTTACAGCCTCCTTAAGAAAACATGAGATACCTGAAACAAGTTTTCTGTCTTTGTTTTTTTGTTTTTTTAATCTCTCCGCTCTGGTGTGCAACAGTTACTGCCAAACAGTAAATGAACACTGGACGAAGGGACTGGATACCTCCCTTATTTTTAGGGCTCTTGTACAGCTAGCTGTTGACTTTTAGGTCTGTGTCTTCATCACTGGGTGACCTTTATGGTCCTTCCTAATGCTGAAATTTTATGATTCTGAAGTTGATTTCTCAGGTTAATGAAAGCAGTAGGTCCCAGCCTTCAGCTGCCTTTCAGTAGTTTGAATAAGTTAAACAAGGAATTTAAAAGAAGAAAACCCAAAGGCTTTAAATTATTAAAACATGAGAAATTATTATTTGTACAGAGTAGCAATTTTCACATTGTCTCTATTTTGGAAGCTTAAGAAACTGGTAATTACTGAAAGTCAATTAACCCTTCCTATCAGTGGTAGCTGATCTTAATAACTATCTCTTTATAAATTCTGGTGGTTCATTATTTTTTCATGTGAAACCTTTGTAAGAGTGTATATCAATAATACCTTAAAAAATTTTTAAATAAATAAATAAATAAATTCTAGTGGTTGAATTTAGGTGCTATCTAGGGGATTACTTGATTTGGTAAAATAAGAGTGGTGCTATCTCAGTTGAGTATGAGTAACTGAAGTGCTATCTTCAGTATGAGTAATACCTAACAAGGCTGAGGATATAAGATAGTTTGTGGTCATTAAAAATTTTCGTAAACTTTAGAGCTGCTATGACTATGTTCTCTGTTTTACTTAAAATGTTCTTTTTGGTGAAGAAAACTGTGTATCTCTTTTTGATATAAAAATACCAAATATAAACAAGAGTAGAGAAGATAGTTTAATGAACCTCCTTATACCCATCACCAGGCTTTACCAGTGATTTATAGACAATCTAGTTTCATGTTTACTCCACCCACTCTCCCATCCAACCATAGATATTTCAAAACAATTCCCAGATACCATAATGTCATCCCTAAATATTTCAGTATTATCTCTAAAATATAAGGATTCATGTGTGTATTTCTTGATATTTTAAGAAGTCCATTTGGAGAAATTATACTGTGGTTTAGAATTTTGGTCTATAATGAATCAGTTGGCAGTTATTGTAAATGTTATATGTGTTAGGATCCCATCCTGAAATCCTAGCCATTTTTTTGGAAATACTTACTGTATTATTTAAAATAAGTATAACTTCATTGTTTAAAAATAGGTAGCCTAAACTTTGGTTACTTTTTAATGTTTAAGAAAAATCAAATCCCTTTTTCTTTGGTCTGTTTTTCATCTTTTCAGGTACGTGCTTTCCAACATGCCTTCAGCACTAATGACTGCTCTAGGAATGTCTACATTAAGAAGAATGGCTTCACTTTACACCGAAACCCCATTGCTCAGAGCACTGATGGTGCAAGGACCAAAATTGGTTTCAGTGAGGGCCGCCATGCATGGGAAGTGTGGTGGGAGGGCCCTCTGGGCACTGTGGCAGTGACTGGAATTGCCACAAAATGAGCCCCCATGCAGTGCCAAGGTTATGTGGCATTGCTGGGCAGTGATGACCAGAGCTGGGGCTGGAATCTGGTGGACAATAATCTACTACATAATGGAGAAGTCAATGGCAGTTTTCCACAATGCAACAATGCACCAAAGTACCAGGTGAGAAACTGGGTATTTTCTCAGATGTGAGCCTTTGTCAAATAATTCCTCTATTTTAAATTTACAACATTTTGTCTAGAAACTCTATATTTCATTTTGTTAATTTTTTAAAAAGTTGCCTTTCTTTCTACTCTGATAATAACCTTTTAGTATTTCAATTTTTGTTCCTAATACATGTTTGACCTTGAGCAGTTGCCTTTGCTTTAAACAGGGTTTGGCAAACTTTTTCTGTTGAGGGCCAGACAGTAAATATTTTATGCTTTGTAGTCTATATGGTCACTGCCACAACTGTTGAACTCTGTAATAGCACAAAAGCAGTCATAGATAATATGTAAATGAATGAGCATTCCTCTGTTCCTATAAAACCTTTATGGACTACAGGGAAGACTTGGCCCAGGGGTCATAGTTTGCCAACTCGTGCTCCAGGTTGTCATTGTTCTTCTATCATGGCACATCCAAATCTACTTTTTATAGACATCTTACTCTCACAAATATACCTGCATACACACATACACATACTCATCCTCTATTATTTATTAATCTGTTTGTGAATTCAAAGCCTCTCGAGGTATCAGTGATTTCTATAAAGACAGGCAAGTTCAGGCAAACTACTACATTTTTTAATTCTTTCCATCTTAGCCTTGCACTATAATCATTTGATTCTAGTATCAAAATTATAGTTCCTGTTCGTGTGAGCTGTATGATTACTATAGATTCAGCAGTCTTAAACACAATAATCTGTTGGGAATTTGGAAATTTTAAGGAATTACAAATTACGTATTTCAAAGATGTGCCTTGAAAGCTCTAGCTATTTTCAATAACATGGATGGACCTAGAGGGTATTATGCTAAGTGAAATAAGCTAGGTGGAGAAATACAAATGAACATATGATTTCACTTCTATGTGGAATCTATAAACAAAACCAACAAAACAGCAGTAAACTCAGAGACACTGAGAAGTGGCTAGTGGTTTCTGTGGGGAAAAGGTTGGAGTAGGTGGGTAAAGTAGGTGGAGGGGATAAAGAGCCACAAAAGCTCAATTATAATATAAAGTAGTCATGAGGATGAAAGCACAGCATAGAGAATGTAGTCAGTACTCTTATAAAATCTGTCTATGTTGACAGTAACTACACTAGTTGGGAGGAGCATTTAATAATGTATATAACTGTCAAATCACTATGTTGTATATGACTTGAAACCAATATAATATTGTATATCAACTATATCAAAAAATAAAAGCTATCTAAACTGTTTCTGTACAGTAATTTTTATTGTAAAATATACAGTGTTTACTATTTTAATCATTTGTAAGTGTGCAATTCAGTGGCATTAAATACATTCAAATTGTTGTGTAAACTATCATCACTATCTATACCCAAAGCTTTTTATCATCCCCCAAGTAAATTTTGTATTAATTAAACAATAACTCCCTGTTTCTCTCTCCTTCCAGCCTAATCTAAACTCTGTTCTTCTTTCTGACTCTATGAATGTGAATGTTCTAGATTCCTGATATAAGTGGAATTATATTTATCTTTTTGTGTCTGGCTTATTTAACTTAGCATAATGTTTTCAGGGTGCATCCATGTTGTAGCATATATCAAAATTGCATTTCTTTTTATGGCTTAATATTCCATTTGTGCGTGTGTGTGTGTGTGTGTACACACTATGGTACTTTGTAAAGGTTATTTAGATAGCCTTTTTGGTAAAATGTACCAAGTTAATAGATTTTAATAGTAACTTTTTTTTAAAAAGCCTTTAAAAAGAGTAAATACACACTGGGGACTGTTCAGGAGAACATTTAAATTTTCAGTATTAAATAAAGATCCCTTGCAAGTCTTAAATTTAAAAAGAAAAATCAAAAGAAGCATTTGTGATGAAATTAATGAAATGCTTTCTAGGTGTTTGTCCCTGGCCAGAAAACTACTCTTCTGGTTTTTCTAGATAACTTTTAGGATATATACCCGTAATAATGTTTTCAATTTATTGATTTGTATATTTCTTTTAGCTGTGTCCTTGGTGGGTTTCCTTCTAACCTTCTTTTGATGTCTGTTTGCAGATAGGAGAAAGGATTCGAGTCATCTTGGACATGGAAGATAAGACTTTAGCTTTTGAACGTGGATATGAGTTCCTGGGGGTTGCCTTTAGAGGACTTCCAAAGGCCTGTTTATATCCAGCGGTTTCTGCTGTATATGGCAACACAGAAGTGACTTTGGTTTACCTTGGGAAACCTTTGGATGGATGACAGTGGCTTTCTTGTGATGAAAGACAGAGTTGAGGAAATATCTGCTTGTGGAAAGTAGAATCATGAAGTGACAGTGTCATACATGCATGCCCAAGAAACATCCTGAAAAACACATGAAATTGTTAACTGGAGAAGCAACTCTACAGCAGAGATTATCTTAGTGTTTCCTCTTTCTACTGGGCCAGAAAAATCCTCAGGGTTGCAGTTGGTTGAGTGGGCAGTTGACATATGCATGTTGCGACAGATTTTGTCTCCAAGTTAACAATGCGTTAACTCCAACTTTTAAGGTGAGATTTTAGAGATGCTATAAAAGGGATAAGATAAGGAAATAGTAAGATTTTTAAGTAGTATGTTTGTGAAGAAAGACTGATCCTATTTTACAACTGCCTGTTTTTTCTCCAGACCCTTTTCCAACCAGCTTGACTATTAGAAAAGTATGCAACTGGTTGGGTTTTATTTAATATTTTTAATATATTGAGAAGCATGGTCTGCCTGGACTGCACTTCTCTAGCAGTGAGATGTAAAATTGTGCAGCTATTTTAAAAGTTGTATATAAAATATGTGTATTAAAAAAAAACCAAACAGGACAAAGGGATTGCTTTGTTCTAGTTCAATTTCTTAAAAACCACTACATGGTACAAAATTACAGTAACATTTAGGGACAGTTGGGTAACTACAAAGAAGGGGATTTTAAGAGGAGATGTTGCATTGGCTCATTTTGTATTTGGTTTACAGTATGCATAGCTATTACAGTCTGGTTGTTTTGTTTTTTCTTTAAGGATCAAAATTATTGTAAAGATTCCTCAATCTTCTGGCTAATGATTGAGGGAAGTCAAATCTATTGCTAATCATACATTTATCAGTAATGAGAATGTGCATCTGATTTTATTTTTTGGCTTCCTGAGAAAGTGTCTCATAACAACACAGAGCATTGCCATTTGCTCATATAGGCCTCAAATATAAAATCTGTCAGTCACAGACCTTAGGAAAAGGATTGGTTAATGGTCCTTCTATTTTGTAGCTTTATAATATTGTAGATATTATAAATTTTTTAAAAATTTTATATCGTTTACATCATGCAGCAGTCTAAGCCTCAGACTCTTCATTGGGGTTATCAAGAACATGTTTACTTATCCACCTGAAACAGTGTCAATCTGAACCCAGGTTAAGAATGTTCTTAATCTCATAGATAGTTGTCCCCTTGGGACTGAAATAAAACACCTTGTGCTGAAAACTTCAGATGGGTTTCATCAACTTTGAAGGTTTCATTGTAGAGGAGCTTAACATTAATTCCCATTCTAAATTTTTGACTAATAAATCTGGTTTTGCTAATAGTCTTACAAATTAATAATCTAACATGCAAACTAAGATTTTCTTTTGTTATAAGAAACAAACATCTTTCTGTATGAAAGTATAAATTGTATGACTGCAGATACATCTTTGTGATAAGAATTGATTAAGGCAAGTGGCATCTTTGTACATCTTAAGTTATCGCTGTATGTACATTTTGTTTTAAATCTAACAAATTTAGGGACAGCATGCAGCTGTCTAGGGTTCTTGGGTTGTTACTTGAGAGTTAAGATTATCAATACTATGAAGCAGGGGATTTCAGTCAATGAACAAAGATTTATTTTTGCCACCTGACAGGTTTACAAACATTTTTTGTGTGTTTGGTATGTTGCTTAAAGGTGAAATCTTAAAGATCCTTTTTGATATCCATGTAATAGAAGCCTGGAAACCATGTTTAATAGTGCAGAGTGAAATTATGTGTGAAATGTTTTAGACAATATAGCTGCTAGAGATACTGATTTTTCTTGGTGTAGAACAACTCCATTTGGCAAAGTTTAACATTTAAGAAAACTGGTTCAGATGAAGACTGAGCTAGTTAGAAAACATTAAAATACTTTAAGTACTTGTTTCTTTTTTAGGTTGTGATATGGCCAATTCCAAGGGCTTTTGCTGAGAATTTTGTCTCTAACTTCTGTGTTGTCTTATTAGTGATTATTCATATATGACAAAGTTTTGGAGGTGCTGAATGGAAAACAGAAACACATGGTTATTGCATATTGAACCTAGAATCAAATAATTGCCTAAATATTTAACAATAAGCCATTCTTAGCTCAAAGATTTAAATTCCCTAATATCCCATTTGCAAATTGTATAAAATGTAAGTTCAGGATGAGCATCAGGAGAATGAAAAGCCTTCATTTTATAACCTGATGAAGTTTGTTACTGGAGACAAGTAGTAGCTGTACAGAATATTAAACTGCTACAATGTTCCAGGAAAAGCAATCTCTTTATCATTAGTGCTGAAAGAGCATTTAGGTAGAAGACAGTTGAACCTGAAGATTGAGTATAAATCATCAAAACCAGTGGTTCTCAACTTTAACTGTACATTGGAGTCATGTGTGTTTTGAAAAATATGATTAAGTCCCATTCCCTAAGATTCTGATGTTGGTCTGAGATACAGATTTTTTTAAACTTCTTAGATTTCAATCTGCTGCCAAGATTAAGTTCTAAATTCATCTTAAGTTTCTTATCTGCAAAATAAAAAAAAAAAACTCTTGCTGCCTCCCTTCACTACCTCACAAGAATATTGAGGGTAAAGGAGAAAATAATGGGAAAGTGCTTGTGTGATGGATAAAAAATGCTATTGAAAGGTAAAGAGGTTATTCGTTGTATTTCAACTGAAACTATGATCCGGAAAAAATTTCATTGAATTTACTTTGCTGAGTTGGGAAATTGGGAGCATTCTCTTTGGTTCAAGCATGCAGATGTGTAAACAAACATTACTATTACTCATACTATGGTCTTCTGTCATACTTGAGATAGGCTGTTATAATTATCTGGTTTTACATAAGAAAGAAGAAATATTAAGGCTTAAAGTCTGTAATGGTAAATGGCTCATAATTCATTAAAACTTCATACAAAGAATTCTGTGGTTAATATAGATCATTTTATATATTTATTTTTTCATTGACTTTTGAATGTTAAGCCATTTATTTCATCTTCAGTCTTGTTCATGTAAGTGTAGATATAGATTTCATAAAGCACCTAATGCAAGTAGGTGTTACCCAGTTGAATACTCAAAGTCATGGCTCAATGTTTAAGCACCTTCTGACCTGGGAAAGAGAGTTTCAAAAATAACAAGAGCCCTAAACCACATTGTAGGAATTATTAATTAACTTTGAATTTAAGTCCCCAAATGTTTATATAGACTGTAATAATATTTTTTGATCATTTTTTTAAAAGACCAGTTTGAAGAGATAAAAACATAAGGAGTTTTAAAAATTAATGTTGGGAAGATTACTGTCCAGAAATTAAGACCACCGCAATTAGGACCTTCCTGGAAGGAACAGTCCATACACAACTCAAATATTAGCCTCATAAAGCATTCCTCAATTCCTCTAACAATGTAATCTCTCCTTCTTTGAATTATCCCTATTTTTATGTTTTATCTATAATTAACTCATGCTATATTATTTATACCTTGTATGAATTTATTTATAATTTATTGATAATTTGTTGGTGTCCTATCTCCCCTAAACATGTTAGGACAGGATCTCTGGTGGACTCATCTTTATACCCACATTGTCTAAGCCCAATGGGCAAATGCTCCCATATTTGCTGAAGGAACAGAGAAAGAACTATGTAGGAAGACAAAAGCTCTGGAGTTACAAACTATAGCAACAAAAGACATGAAAAAGTCTTTCTGTATTCTAAGTGAAACATGAAAAGGGATGCAAATCTGAGGTTAATAAGGAAGAAATAATGACTGTGAATTCATTTTAGCCATCCCCTTTATTCTTAAATATTGATAAGCTCTGATTTTTAGTTCTTGGTTGTAGAGTTCATATTTGTTTAGAATAAAATCAGAAGTCTGTATTTTTTTTGAAATTCTGTTGTTTTGCTTTAGTTTCTTAATAAAAAGTTAAAAACAAATGTTAACCACCTGTGATTGATTACATTTAAAGTAACTTTTTAATACATTGGTTAGAAAGAAAAATTGGGGTACCTTTGTAGCCAAGCGTGGTGATGGAATTTACCTATAAATTCAATGGCTTTTAAAAATGGAACCCACATTTCCCATGTTTCGAATAGAATGTGGATAGAGAATAGAATTTACTGGGATCCTGTTCCCCAATCATCACCAGCACCACCCCTCCCACTAGCTACCAGTTTGATCAAGTGGTTGTTCACCAAAAGTTACAAGAGGCAGGCATAGCTGAACAAATTACTCCTGTGATCCGAAAGTTTAAAGGAGAGTTGGATCATATTGGTAAAGATTGATGTATTAATATGTTCATACAAAATTTTTAAAAGAAAAGTAAGTGTAAAATTACCATATTTGTCTTTTATGTTAAGTGGAAAGAGGTATCAGGGACAGTTCTACTAGTCTGTTGTCCTAATTTCTTTTTTGGATCCTCCCCCGAAATGTTTGCTTTTCGTTTAATGTATTCATTAAAATATTGTTGAGTGCATGTTCTCTACTCTTCAGAATATAGTTTGTTAAAAAAGTAGCCCCTCAGGATTTAAGAATGTCATTAATCAGTTTACGTATAGGATTTCACGATGAGTGCCCCAAGAAGAATAATTTAGGGAGTTTTCCTCAGGTCACCCTGTCAATAGTCCTTAATTTCTGTTAACTTTTTAAACAAGAAAACATGAGAAAAAGATGAGGGAAGTCAAGTCCTGTCTTGTCTATTCTATGGTACTTAGAAAGTTAAATTGTATTTCTGCTCCCTCCTTTCCTCTATAAATAAAATGGAAAATGAAATTCAGTAATGGGAATAATTTTGAGTTCTTATCTCCCTTGAGAAAGGCTCCCTGAAGTAACATTAAAATGCTGATATCTGAAGTTAGATTAATTAGAAGCATATTGTGATGGGAATAAGCCAGACATCTTTATTTTAATGAAGCTAACTTCCATTTTCTAATCAATGTTTAAAAGGTCTTTCATTTGTCTGTGCCCCTTTGTTGGTCACTTTAACTTTGAAGGAAGGGATGTTTTAAGGTTGGAATGAGAACAACAGTCAGTGACTTCTCTCCTTCAACAGGCCAAAGAATGATACAGCTCATCATCAAATTGCCCAGAGCAGTAAAGGGCATGGACAAAATGGCTGCTTTCTGAAAGGCACATTGGTAGCAGAGACGGGCTACATTGAATCTGGGGAGCAGCCAAATGCACACACCCTTTCAAGTACAGCTTACCGAAACAGTGAACTTAAGTGCCTGTGGAGCTATATGGAACCAAAAGTGACTCCCTAGGCCACTCTGGGTTTTATGTAGCCATAGGTGAGCCATTAGCTTTTGAAATAGTGAAGATCTTCCTACTCTCCCAGCTGCTAGTCACCCACTCAGGAGTTCAGAAAGAATGAAAAAAGAAAAATTTTTAATTTTAAATTCATCAAATATTTTCATGAATTTATATATACACCAGTCCCTTGCCAGGTTCTAGTGATGTAGAGAGATGAAGGAAAAAACAAAAGCAAAAACATGGTCTTCTAAACTTGTTCACAGGCTTGTGGAAAAGCAAATGTGAAAACAGACTATCATGAAACAATGGAGTAATTGCTTTAATGGAATTAATGTATGAGGTCCAGTGTGGCATAGGAGAGAGGGAATACTTAACTTGTAGTGATACTTAGAAAGTGAGTCTTCGAAGATGAATAGGGGCAAGTGAGTATAGGTCCACTATTGCAGGCAGTTGGAATAGTATGTGTACTGATACAGAGGCATAAGTAGATCCCAGAATGTTTGGAAATGGAGTAGTTGGAGAGGAATGGAATAGGGAGATTGGGGCCAGATCATAATCGTCATGCTACGGAGCTTGGGTTTCATCCTATTTTTTTATGAGGAAGGCACTCAAATGTTTTCAAGCAGGGGAAGGCATGATTTACGGTGTTTTCCAACGATTACTCTAGCTGCAAAGGGCAGTAGCAGAAAACTGGACAATCAGACAGGAGGCCTAGATAGGAAATGATAAGGACCAAAACCAAGGGACTATGGACATAGAAGAAGGGTGTACTTAAGAGACGTTCAAGAAGATAAATGGATACCATTTGTAGGTAGAGGATGAGGAACTCTTGGTGTGCACATTTGGGAGAATGATGATGCTCCTTAGTAAGACAGGGAATTGAAAAGGAGGAATAGATTGGCCGAGGAAGTGATGAGTTCAATTTTGAACCCGTTGAATCTGAGATGGAAGTATTCAAAAGGCAGCTGCAACTAGTAGGTCTGGAGTTAAGGAAAGAGGCAGCTAACAGGCAGCGAGCAAGAGCAGCTGCTCCGTTGCCATCCTTGCGGCCCGCCAGCCCCACGGGACTCCACAGCCCATGAGCAGAGCGGAGGGAATGCCTGAAATACATGGAAAGGACGACCAGTTGCCTTTCTCAGCAGTGACTACCAGGTAAAGGATGGTGGGTTTTTTGTTTTAGCTCTCTGCCCTCCACCTCTAACAATCCTGGCAAAATTTCTCGAGTGCCTCTTTTTAAATTTTATGAGGAGCTCAGTAATTTCCATCATTTTGGTTTTAAGGTAGGAACAGTGGAGTAGTAGTTGAGGAGGCAGGTTCTAAGTCCATGACATGATTCCGGAGTAGATTTCTTCCCTTTAAGGACTATTTCCTTACAGCTTAAATGAGGAGGATCTGATCCTCTTCAGAACCTCAGTGGTTCTGATTTGGGGATGCCATTAAAATCACTTGGGAAAGTTTTAAATTTTTTAACAGCTTTATTGAGATGTAATTAACAAACAATAAGCTACACATAATTTAAAGTGTACAATTTGGTAAGTTTTAACATATGTATATATCCATCACAATCAAGATAATATACACCTGGGAAGCTTTTAAAAGGTAAGTTCCCCAGGCAGATTTAGTAGATTGCATAAGGGAGATAGACTCAGGCAACAGTCTCAGTATTTTTTTTTTTAAGTTCCCAGGGAATTCTTCCCAGAACTAGGTGATCACCACTAGGACTGGCTTTTGAGGAGGCAAAATCTCTGTTTTATGACCAGGGAAATATATAAAGGAAAAAAAATATATATAACCAGCCCTAGACAGAGAGTAAGTCAATGGCAGAGCCAGAGCCTACTGTACCTAAGGTATCTAATATTTCTTCTGCTGGTCCTTCTATGACCCTTAATGAGCTAAATTTATGCAGTCATTAAAAGAGGTCAGTGTCCTTATTAGGACTCTTTCAAGGACAGTGGATTCAGTAACTTCCTGAATCAGGGTGGCAGTGAAATTTGAGTGCTAAACCAAAGCTGGGAAGCTGCACATCTTGGAATAAAACTTTTTACCTCTGTAAAAAGGGAGGTAGAGGTGAGGCTTAGAACCTCACCCCCCACTTTTTTGAGAGAAATCTTCTGCATCCATGGATGTTTTGTTGCCCTTGTCTAGCTTGTATTAATACTTAGTCTATAGGCACACACCTGATCATCTATATTTGCTTTCTTACAGCACTAAACTATGTTTTCTACCTTTATCTTGCATCTACCTACCACTTCAGCATTTTATTTAAAAAAATAATAATAATAATAGTAATAATAATAATAAGGGAGAAATGTGGGATTCACATATAAATCAAGTATAAAAATCAAACAAATATTCATATTTGACCTGATTGTTTATAGTTCATAACACGTGATCAAAACCGAAAGTTTCTGTGATATGACTGCCCTCGTACTGTTCACCATGTAAGAACTTATTCACTATGTAAGAATTTGTTCACCATGTAAGAACTTGTTCGTTATGCTTCAGAAGATCGGAGACTGATGAGAATTAGGCTTGGGGTGGATTAATGATTGTGCATTGAGTCCCCTATACAGAATTCTTTTGTTGTTAACAACCATTTGATCAATAAATATGAGAGATGCCCTCTCAAAAAAAAAAGGGAGGTAGAATCATTGAACATGGCTGCAGTAATAAAACC